TACAGGAAATTGATATCAGTGTAGGTATACTTGTCAAAATAACGAGTATATATACTATTTTTTATCTTAGAACTTGTGATCTATAAGACTTTTTGAATAAAACAGTCCAAATGTTTTCTTGATCCATAAAATAGACAAGCTGTGTGTCTGTAGTTTGGTATGCTCATGACAGCTATTCACCTTGGCATAGCCCCCATATAACAGCTCCGTTTGTTTACAGGTATTTTTAATGTTCATGTGGAAGGGTATAATAGGCCCAAGCAAACTTAGCTATTTCATTAGGTGTCGAAATAGTCACACTGGGAAGTTAGATTCAGAAAATGGGATACTAATTCAATAATTTTACGTTGACAACTCTCAAGATTTTACTGCAACCAAGTAGGTTGCTTACTATATTGGCCATATTGGCTTTTTTTTACAATGAAGTGAATTAATAAATGAAATGTAATGTATATTACTAAATTTTATTTACCACACTCCTTCCGGAGTGTTAATTTCCTTTAAACAATTGATTTCTTTATAAATCTTACGTGAATTAACCATTTAAACATCATGATAATCCCTTTTTCGAATACATATCCATTGTTATCCTACTGCCTTTATGAAAATTTGCATTTAAGTCATTACAGTGTTAAATTACAATATCATCATCTCTAGTATCAAAATCACTGCTTTGTCACGCTATACGCTTAGCTATCAAAAAATCTACTCACACTGCTTTTGTCAGCAAATGTAAAAAGAATTAAGAACCCTCCCCAAAAAATATTATTTACCCATTCTCCGCGTACCTTTATGTCACATTTTATCAATGTGACCACATTTGTGGTTGAAAATATTGTGGTTAATATTTAAAGGAGTTTACAAAAAGTTTGATTTTTATTACAAAATTTAAAGAAAAATACAAGTAGGTTACTATTCGCTACTACTGAGATCATAAAAGGGGAGGTTTATGTGCAAGAATGCGACCATTTAAACAAGTGTAAATCGTTATACACTCAAATACATAGATTTGCATACCATTATATTGACAAGTTTTGCTAATATTTTGTATTCGGTTTTATATTTCTTTGACCGCAACATTGTGGCTTTTCCTGTAAGCGTTCATAAATTGCATTATTTAATTGTGTTAATTTTCATAATTGAAAAAGGATTTTATAAATATTTATATGGAGAAAAGCTCAATACTGTTTTTATATTTAAAGTAGTCTCAATACAAACAAAATTATTTTTCAATACATCAGTTTTTAACTTATGGTTTTTGGTGGAAAGAAAATCGTTCATTAGAAGTGGTATGTCAGATGACAAATCACCTGATACGACTCTCATATAGTATAGTATTTTATTAGTAGAACTTTTAGTCTCTAAGCGGCTAGATAGTCCTATAGAAGAAATATTTTCTATAGATCTTATAGTAATTAGGTTCAACATTATCTGCCAGCAGGTTTTTTACTCTCTGAGAAAACAGAATATGTGGGATATGTAAAAACACCCAATTTTCTTCAAAGAAGTTTTTGCATACAACATGAATATAGGGCAGAATACCATTTAACAGCAAATTCGGTTGGACAAATAGTCCGTGAAAAAGCCAAATATAGGACGGAAAATGTCTAAGATAGCAATGTATAATCGTTAAACTGTACTGCAAATATTCTGCGGAGAGTTTTTTCTAATTGTCTGAAATGTCATGCAGTTGAATCATAATAAATATCTTAAATTGACCGGAACCTTTTTATAAGGGCTAGGTTGAAAAAGCATGATAAACCCTCCCAAATACCGAGCATGCACATCTTCCAATTTTACCTGTACGATAAAAAACATATTTCCAGATTGGAAGAAACCTGAAAACTGAATGTGCTGTCATAATATTTACTCCCATTAGTAACATGTGATCCCTTCAGTAACGCACAAAATTCACTTAGTGTCGTTTAAATTCTCTAGAGTTATAGAGATTTCAGAGGAACTTAATACCCATATGATATATGATAATTTTGACAATATCTAAGTAGTATAGTGGATGTTTTGGAATTGGATTGGGTCGAATTGGTAAAACCTGGCGCGAGATGAAACTTGGCTATGGGGATTGAAGCGATTACAATATTGTTATCGTTACTGGGGTACAACTTTTCGCGTCTGCCATGGAAGTTCTACTGCTGCTATACATTGCAAATTATCTCTGATTATGGTATTTATATTGTATTGTTCTTTGGAGATTTTTCCTAAAGTGGTTGTGCACAAGAAATCGGCCGAAAAGACTAAGTTGGTACTATATCGACTATATACGTTGTGTTGTGTATGATCTTTGCCTCTTCGTGTAGATAGTCCATTTTGTTGGAGGAAACTTTATAACATAACATTAAGCGGTCCAGCCAATTTTGGGAATTATTTCTGATTTTGATATTCATATTGTATCTACATACTTCTTCCGACTGTATCAGACCTGTCTAAAAAGCCTGTTAATATAAAGGTTCTGTATATTACATAAATCAAAATCTTTCTTTGCGAACGAAGAATGTCGAGAACATTTTGAAATTTGTTTTAGTGCATGACATGGCGGTCCTGCCAATTTTGGGAATGATCTTTGATTTTAATATTCATATTTTCTGACTGTATCAGACCTGTCTAATAAGCCTGCGAAAGAAGACGGTCGATAACATTATAACAGGTTTTAGTGGTTTGATGGTTCTACATTGTCAATAGTTTGGAGTGTCAATGAACGTCTCATGTAGGTAATTCATTTTGATTTCTAATCAATTTCACCACTTCATCAAGAAGTGATTATAGTGTAGAAAATAGATGGGACCCTAACATCTTAATTTGTCGGATGCGTCGGAAGCAACAGGTTTAGAGCCTGCGTAGAAGACAACGAAACATTGTTGCTGTTGTTGTAGCAGCCCTATTGCTTTTACACAATGGGCTGAGATGACAGACGTTGGCCGAGTAAGACTCGGGTCTTTTCGGATCGTAGAACCCTCTGTCGTGGAAACGACAACGAAGCGTAGGAACATTTGCTATATGCCACTGACTAGCTTTCACAAACTTTCGAACACAATACATAGGAAATTATACTGAAGACTGAAGAAGTATAGGGATGTTTCTTCTAAGAAGAGAAAATGTTTCTTCTAACATTTCCTTTCTACACCGCATAACAGGCCTCCTTCTCTTCAAACTAACCCAAAATCTTAATATTTTGATTTCCGGACTTATCTTCCCTCCTTAAAAATATATTGAACTTAAAAACCACCGGAAACCAAAGAGTAAAGAAATTAATAATGGCGGATATTCCTATTTTTCTGCCTTGTTTAAATACAAATTACTGAAAATCTTCTCTAATTTAGGCGTTTCATTAACAATAAGACAACACTAAATCAAATTTCCAGTCCGTTGTGTAAATAGTATTATAGTGAGGTTTTTGTTGTTCCGCCTTATTAATATCAATAAATAATTATACAGATTGTTATAAAATATTACAGAAAACATAAATTAAATAAAAACAGTTCACATTTTGGTGTGGATGGTACAATTGTTCTATGTCGAGAAATCAATAAACAATGGTGTGATATAAACAATAAAATTTCACCAAAAGTCTGAATCACAACCAATTTTTCGCTTCTATTAAACACGCGTTAAATATTTTATTATTTTATCCACCTTTGATTACTGCCTTCCGATTTCAGTTCCATTTTTATAATCTGAGACGTCTACCACTAATTAGCATAAAACAGTGTAGAAACACATAAAACCACAAGACCTCATCATCATTGATGAAGATATTACGAATCTGGTTAGGCTCGACGATTATATGTTATAATTATAAAAAATTTGTTATACGTGAACAATTTATGGTAATTTTATTCAATAAAGGTCATAAATTGAACTAATATAAAATCAACTAACTGTAGCACACCACCACCATCACTGTTGTGGGGTATAGCAACGCATATTCCATTCGGAAAACAAATAAATTTTTGGATTTAATAAACCTGTTTAGATACTTTTAGATTTGTTACTCTAGTTATATGATGGCGCCATTAGTGAGATTTTAAAAACCCATTAATTATATTTAGGGAATTTTCGATTGCAAAGTGTATTTAAGAGGGGGTATACATAAATCAATGTTCAATGTCTATATTTTGCGAAGAGATATATAGAATCAAAGAATAATCAGTCGATTTTGATGTTGCTATGCACAGGAACTCCACAAAATGTAACGAAATCACGGACATGGTGTCCTGGATAATGTCATTGCAATCCAATCCCAACCGATCGCGTTGATTGAAATTACGATAATTAAAATTATGATAGATCAAGGAAATCAGTTCTAATTCCGCAATCCAATAATTAAAAATATAAAATGGTATGTGTTCTTTTTTATCGACTAACAGAAGTGTCCTTTACTGAATGGGAAATTCCGTTTCGAGGATTATTTAACTGGTTAGAAATCAGGGCAATCTTTTGACATAGTAGACAAATAAAATCTCATCTCACCCTTGACTGTTACAATGAATATATCAATTATATTTCCCCAAAATATTATGGAAATATGGTTTAGGTACTAACATTTAATAAACATAAATTTATATTAATAAAACAAATTATTACTAATAAATATTGTATATAAAACTCAAAAATATATAAAAACCCCAAACATTAAATTCCATTATTACGCAAATATGAAAATTTCGATTATAAAATGGTTCATACAACACGACTAAAATATTTTTCAATTATTTTTTACTTTTAAACCGAACTTATTTTCCTATAAATACTACAAAATCTATATAAATCGAATTAAATAATTCTTTTTTTATCAAAAATTTCTACCACCCTCCCCCATTATAGGTATACCGATTTGCAACATTTAACATCAAGAAGAGCGGCAGCTGTTGCCGCCTCACAATTTCTCTCGCCATTATATTCAGTTATGAACTGTTGCAATAATGGCAATGAACCAGGATTTGGTGGTATGCCACCGATAACAAGCGCTACACGTAATCATCGTGAACATGGTGGCCGTGATTCACCCAATAGCAGTGCGGTCACAAGTACAACGGCTGCACCCACAACAGAACCTCCCAAATCGTTTGGATGCGATTCGTCATCACCGGAAATGAAACAGCAGGCGATTACATCCGATGCTAAAGTGCAAAATTCATTACAGTGCCATGAAATGCCGGCAGCATATAGAATTCCCGGCTATATCGAACATTTATACTCATTACAGTGTTTAAGTCCCAATGCTTCCCTACATGGTAAGTGGCGTTAAAAAGTTATTCAATATTTTTTGAAGTAATTTATTTTTGTTTTAATAATAGATAAATTTTCCCAAAAACATTTTCACATAGCTGGACTAAGTATGAATTCCAGTGATTATTTACGATCATGCAATATGGGCTCGGTCCGTGAACTACACCCGGCAATAGCAGTTAATTTATCAGCAGCCAACAATGGCTATAACTTTGGCCTTAAAAACAAGAGTATTAACTCGCATTCTTTTATAGCATCGCGCAAGCGTGCCTTATCGTCGTCACCGTATTCCGATGCCTTCGATATAAATTCAATGATACGTTTCTCACCGAACTCCTTAGCTGCGGCCATGGGTGGCCCGTGCCCCGGGCCGAATATGCCGCCCAATGCATGTTATGGTCATTTATCGGCAAGTAATTTTAGTCCCATCCATTCAGCCATGGCACCTCATTTACAACAATTGCAAGCACATTTATTGAGGGTTAGCGCCGGTTTGCTACATCCTCTGTCGTCGGGACATCAAATAGCAGCACACACACACAATATGCTTCCAATGGATCAGAAACAAATGTTGAATCCGAAAACAGATATTCCACCGGTTGCAACAACACCGGTTAAAGAAGAATTTAACGAGAAGGAAACGAATGGAAAAGTGGTAAGTGTGAAAAAATACCCTCTTTTTTATTTCTTACGTGATGCCATATTACAACATGCCATAATGAAGCATGACAATTTGTTAATCAAAATACATCTATGACAAAAACCAACGATCGGCCCACGTGAACGTAAGAAATGGTTCCCGTTACAAAGGGTTGGAGACTTGAAAAAGTTGACTATCTGTACTGTAACCTCTTCTATATGCTAGACAAGAATAGGGAAGTTTAAAGTGAACAATTTAGCTTGTGGTCGGCAAACTGTCCTCCTGTTATTTAAATGGTATTATCATACCGGAACAAGGTACGGTTGAATTGGAAGCCTCATATACTAGATAAGAAAGCTCAATTAAACAACAAAGCCGAAAGACTATACTGGCTGTTGGGTCCGAGATCTCGACTAAATCCAAACAACAATTTAAGAATTTATAAAGCAATATTGAAACCTCTTTGGTGCTACGGGGCACAGCTATGGGGAATAACATACGATTCGTCCATAGATATGATAGAACGATTTCATAAGAAATAACTGAACCTATAGCTCCCTAGACAGCACTAATGAAGTAAGATGACTATGTATAACATATGTATTGTATTTGCCATTTCGCATTTGGAAGGTCTTGTATATATGCACATATTATTGTAAAGAAAATATTTATAATCCTTGTTTTTTGTTATGTAACTTAATGAAGTCACATAATTTCTGTCATTGTTTATATCTTATCTCATTTGCTTATTGTCCTCGGACATATTGTAACTAAATAAAAAAAATAAAAAAGCTTCTTAAACTGAGGGGATTGCCAACAGATTCAATTCAAATTTACTATCTCCATTACATTCAGTTTCATGAAGTCTACTTTTTAGTCCGTCGTTTTGACGACCGATGAGGTAAAGGATAAACCCCAAAACACTTGCCTAGGGAAAATCTAAAGAGTAGTGGTCGACAAATCGAATATTAGGCGCAAAATAAGTCTATATTTAAGAAAATTACATGTGGATAAATAAATAGTATATTATTATCTGTCCATATTCCAAATATCGTTGCTTTGCTATCGATCGACCCCATGTTTAGGAATATTAAGATCAATTCAAAAATGGCCTCCATTAAGATTCTGATTAATGAAAATATGGATTATAATATTTGTAGAAAAACCCCAGCCGTATATATTGATATATATGAGGTATTATTAAAGATTTGTTTGCTACTAAACTCTTCTGCATATTTCTATATCACTCTCTTTCTACCGAAAGATATTTTATTAAAATCATTTTATAAAATCTCCATTAATGATAATAAATACAAGTTTAACAGCCTTAAATCTATTATTAATTATTTTAAAAATACAGTGGAATATATAATTCCAGAAAATCGATAATATCTTTATCAATAAATTATAATGTCTCGAATCTCTCAGTTTCTGTGGAAGACCTTCCTTCCAGTAAATTGAGTTATTATTAATGCAAACCATCACAGGTAAAAAACTGCCGATCAAATATTTTTTTTATCGAATTCCAATCAATTGATGTTCCCTTATACAAACATTCGGAACGTGCTTTGGCAATCTTTATATGAAACCTTTGCCAACCTTTTCCTAAAAAGGGAACATTTTTGGTGCTTGCGTGACGCACAAACGAGGTAGCGTAAATTGTGTTGTCACGTTTGGAAACAATGCAAAGATGTTTCAACTCACAAAACATGTGAGATGGGAAATATTTTTTGTGGTGTGGATTTGGAGACATTTATATTGAACCAACATTTGTGAAAAAGAGGCGAAGAATTGAAAGTTTAATAAAAATGTCACATGGAAAGAATGGTATTCCCTGTAGGAGGTAGTAATCTTGTAGAAGCATACGGGTTTATTGGAAAGTTTATGGAGAAAATTTTTTTTTCTAAAATTGAAGGCTTAGGTAAAAAGTACTAATTAGATTCATGTCCTTAAAATGGAATTAGCGAAATATGCGTCAGTACGCATTCCGAAACCTTCTATGTAGAGTAACTTCGGGTAATGTTGACTATGCGTCAAATATGGACCGCCTCCACATCTTACAAAATGCTGTCATTGTGCAGCATGTTTAAGTTGTCCACGCAAGACGCTGCTATCTGAACAGCAACAGGTCTTTCTGTGTGGAACCAGTTAGTTCCGCGAATACTAGTTCTATGACAAGAAGGAGTATTCACAAAGCAGCCTTGCGATTTGTGTCCTCATGAACCCAGCAATATTCTCCTTATGTCCGCGTAGCAACATACTTTAGTTGCAATGCCTGCTAGGTTGTTTCAGAGAGAAGATTTATCGTAAACATCATTGAGTGGATAAAACTCTCCACTCAGGCATGTCAAGAAGGTTCTTTTAATCTAGGAAAAGACGAATAGGAAGATTTGAGAACCCTAAATAACAAATTAAAGCTCATTCGGTTAAAAAATGTGAGGCATTGAAAAGGTCAAATATTTATGGTGAATTGTATAAAAATCAGGAAGCAAAACAAGCCGATCTGAATAGTTTTCGTGTATGAACACATCGTAGATGAAGAGCGTTAGTCGTCTCAATTCGTATTGATCGCGAATTTATGATGTCTTTCCAAAATGTGGTACAAAACTGTATTGAATGTAAACATATGGACACGCCACATATAAAACTGATACAATTGTGTATTGGCTTTGTTGTGTCGAAAGTAAATTTTCTATTAAGAAAGTGGTATAGTGTTGAGCTTTCTTTGTCGTTGGAAATAAGGAAAAAATTGGCACATGCATTAATTATGCCTATAGTATTATATTGTATTGAAGTATACTGGTGTTTTTAGGAAGGTTCGGTTAGTCTTTAATCGTATTATTCGTTTTGTATATTCACTTAATGTCCGTGAGCATGTGTCACCATATGTTTTTGATTTTATTGGATGTACATTTCATGATTTTGTAGTAGGGCGTTGTATTTTGCATTTCTATAAAGTTAATAGGTGCAATTCCCCTTTATTTTTAATAAGCGTTTTAGTTTCTCCAGATCATCAAGAAATACTCAGCTTATAATTCCTAAACTAACATCAATTTTGGAACGATCATTTTATGTTAGAGTAGCTAGATTATTTAATACATTGCCACACCCTTTGAGATACTTCCACCTATCGCCTTATGCTTATCGCCGCCGCCTCTATGCATATTTTCGTTTGAATTCCCTCTAATAATGAAATCTTTATTTTATTTTTGTGATTTGCCTTTTGGCAAATTTTTGAGTAGATTTTATTCTAAATTAATTATATTTTCATTTTTATTTAATAATAATTATTTATATATATTTTATTTAATTTTTAATATATTTTTCTGTATACCAATTTTCAAGTAACTTTTTTATAAACATTTTTGTACTTATTTTCTGTCATGATCTTATGTTTAGTATACTCTGAGTCCATGTTAAATTATGTACTTTTATTCTGCTCGACTTTCGAGTAGAATTTTAGTCTTGAGACAGATATTTTTTTTTGACTTTTGTAGCTAACTGCTACTTTTGCTAGTTTTCGTTCTGATTACTATTTATTGTCCGCTTTTATTGTCGTGTTTACATTATTTTAAAATGTAGATTGTTAATTTCTTCAATGTGGTCCTCGGACTTTGAAATTACCATGAATAAATAAATAAATAAGTCATTGCCTACGAGATGGAGCACACCGGGATCCATCTTAAAAAAAATTGAGTTCATCAATATGTTGATATTTTGCGTAAGCCAGCTAAGACTTGATATGTTATTCGCATACGAAGAATTTCGTCAAATTTAATAAACACGTGGCAGTTAAGCGAAGGCTTAACAAATCGTCATTTTGTAAAATTTTATATTTAAGCCCGTGGGCGTTATACGTTTTAAATTATGTCCTCCTTGTGAGCCGTCCGAAGACGAACTGCATCTAATATTTTAAAACTGTTTAAAAGGATTCAATAAGAAGGTGGATATTGGCGGCATGTCGAAATAAAGAAATACTAAATCTCACATAGGTCGATTGTTCAACAAATTGTTCACCTAGATCCGAAGAGCCTATTTTCTTAATGGGTTGCGTGTCTACATAAAAGAATTCATCTAGTCACATATGCGATCTGTAGGAAAATGAACAAACAATTATTTAAAATATATCCAGCCTTCTTGGGATGATTATCTTTCCAAATACACAGACAATTTTTAACGGTACTACTTATAATATTAAATTAGACCATTGGTCTAATTTTTAAAATAATGAAAATTGATAATTAATGATCTTACCAATTACAGAATTTCAAATCTAGTTAATTTTTGGAACTTTTTTCTAACTCACAATTTCACTGCATCCGGATATAATTTAATATGAAGCAAGTTTCCCATTATGATTGCCTTAATTTTAAATCTCTCTTTCTATTTTGTTTTTGTCCATTGCAGCATCATATCGAAGAGCCACCACGTCTTGCTGTGGAACCAATTTCCTCGTCATGTAGTGATGTAACACTACAGGAGGCTGACAGTGCATCAGCCGTTGAAAACAAAAAGACAAGAAAATGTTATACAAAATTTTCTGGTCAATGCCATGAAACTAAGACAACCAGTAAACCTCCAAGCGAACCATCACCGAATGTAACACCACACAGCGTAAGTGGCGGTGGTGGTGGTGGTAGCAGTACTACCGGTGGCTATGATTGTGCAAGTGCCGATACAACCGATCTTAAAGATGAACCATTGGATTTCGAGGAAACCAATTGCCATTGGAAAGATTGTGAAATTGAATTTGGCAATCTGGAAGATTTGGTGCGGCACATTAACAATCATCACATACAAAACAATAAGAAAACATTTGTATGCCGTTGGGAAAACTGTTCCAGAGGTGAAAAACCATTTAAGGCACAATATATGTTGGTGGTGCATATGCGTCGTCATACCGGCGAGAAACCACACAAATGCACGGTGGGTATTTGGGAAAAATCAACGAAATAGTTTACAATTACTTACATTTGGAATTTTATTTATATTTTGTTTTTTAGTTTGAAGGTTGCGGTAAGGCCTATTCACGTTTGGAAAACTTAAAAACTCACTTGAGATCACACACTGGAGAAAAGCCGTATACCTGTGAATATCCCGGTTGCACTAAAGCGTTTAGCAATGCCAGTGATCGTGCAAAACATCAAAACCGCACACACAGCAATGAGGTAAGTGAAAAAAACTAAACAGAAACTACTCAAGAGTAATGTTTGCGAACAAAATGTGTAATGTTGTTGGAAACCGCAAAGTATTATGGATGCGGAGCATAAAAACTCACTAGATCTTGAGACAAACCTGCAATACAAAAATCTCTTAAAATTGTTTCAAACATGTTCGATCTCCACCACATCTCATCTGTATTTTTTGCATTGCCTTTTTTCCAGAAACCATACATCTGCAATGCCCCCGGTTGCTTGAAACGCTATACCGATCCCAGTTCGCTGAGGAAGCACGTTAAGAGTGTACATGGAGCTGAATTTTATGCCAATAAAAGACATAAAGGTTTCAATGAGAATGGCGGCAGCAGTGGTGGCGAAGACAAATCTAATGAAAAGAACGGCCATATGCGTGATTACTATCAGGGCAATAGCAGCTCAATGAGTCAAAGCATTAAGAAGGAATACAGTCTGAGTGCATCGCCAAAGTCGCATGCACGTGCCATCTTCCAAAATCCCATGATGCGTACAGCAGCCGTGGCTGAAATTGATGGTGACAATGATTGGTCGTCTGGAATGATGGGCGGCGTGGGTGGTGGTGGCGGTTATGATTATGGCAATAGTAACAGTGACTTTGTTACAAACGATGAAAGCTATTGGGCAACATATGCCGATAATGTTGATGTTTCAGAATTGCCACCTGTGCTGAGGACAATGGTTACAGGTGGTCCATCACCATTGGCCGTGGATAGTTCACCACAACGTATACGACCACGTCTACAAGCCAAGCCGATGATTTCACCCAATATGGGTATTGGCATAAGGGAATTGAATCAACGTATTACCGAATTGAAAATGGAAACAAATATTGATGACACAACAACTGGCGGGCCATGTGGTGTTGGGCCTAAACAATTCTCAGAATTGGACCCAACCACCATACGTAGGGATAGTCAGAATTCCAATACCAGCAGTTATTATTGCAGCATGAACAGTCGTCGCAGTAGCCAGTGTTCCCACCAATCGTCCATGTCTACCCTGCGACCACATTCCTCCTTTAATACAGGTGGCGGTGGATCGCTGTACGATCCTATCTCACCAGGATGTTCAAGACGTTCGAGTCAAATGTACAATATGAATACTGGTGCCATGAATCCCATACAGGAACGTGTTGATGTTCTTAATGTGGGTGTGAATACCACAAACAATTTCCGAAATGACCTCAACAGCCATCCGTTTGTGTTTAATCGGGATAAAGGTGGAAATATACCACCACCGCCATCTTCGCATCTGATTGCCAAGCATTTGCATCAGTTACAGTGTTCCTTGCTTTCGTCCACCTATCTAAGGCAGCTACGCCAAAATGGTCGTTATTCTATACCGAACATTTTACGTTTCTCATCGGGATTGCCAGAGAAGAATCGCCTGTTGGATAGACGTTTCTCGGAAACGAATCGCAAACCTTTGAAATTGATAATGTCATGCCCCTCTACCTTTACATATTCCCTATTGGCCAGTCAGTTGGTCAAAGCCATTGAGCAGGTGAGCAAGTCACGTTCTGCCGAGGCAAGAGAATTGATGGAAGTCTCCTTGGATCATCACCCCAATGAAAAGATTAACCTAGATGAGGTCGATGAAGATGAGTTGATTGAAAATAAATTACTAGTCCTACCGGATGAAATGTTGCAATACCTAAATCAAGTGGCCAATCATCATCATCAGCAGGAACAGGAACGCCGCAACAATAACACGGAGACCACTATGGGTGGCGGTTTTAATACCAATCAAAATCGTTTTATGCAACAAATGCAAAGTAGTGCAATGATGCCACCGCCTGCAAATCCCCCACCATCATCCTCCAATACACACGTCACGAATCAACGCAATAATTACGATATCTATTCGTATGAACACTATATGCGGTATCCTCAATATTACGATTGTGCCAATAACTATTATCAGCAGTACCATCAAATGAACAATATGAATCAAACAAAACGGGATAGCTGTTCGGGACAGATGCCAGGTGGAGCTGCCCAAAGTAATTGTGCAGCCCAAACACCAACACCCTCTCAACAAGCGTTGCCATCCAACAATGTTGATCCAGTTGATAGTTCCATGACAAGTTTGGTGGATTGGCGCTTAAGTACACCTGGTGTGGAAACTAATAACCCAGCGGCAGCAGCATCTGTAACCGTTGGTGTACCACATGAAATACAATGCAACGATATATCACAATCCCAAATGTCACCTGCAATAGTTGGTAACAGCAATCATCCGGCGGGCAACACAAATGCCTACAATCAATACACCAGTATTTCTTCGACTACCTTCAATGAGAGCAATACCACCCCATCATATTCCAATAATAACAATGGTTCCAGTGGTGGTTCCATGATGACTGAATCCTATCAACGTACCTTGGAATATGTACAAAATTGCCAGAGTTGGTTGAAGTCCAGCAGCAGCAACAAGGAAGGACCCAATGAGGCAGCCTTGTATTGCGATGACTTCAATAATCCAGCAAATGCGGCAGCTGGAACCACAGCCGGCGTACCCATGGTCACAAGCCAAACCAACATTACAAGCTGTACTTATCCCACCAATAATAATATGGTCATTAATGACATGAACTCATCGCTTACTTCACTTTTCGAAGAAGATCTGTGTTTCAAAATGATTTGAAACCACTTACGTATTATTAAAAGTTAAACGAAAAAAGAAAACAGTAGCAGTATAAGACCATCATACAAACACACATACATTTATATACAGAAAATCAAATCTATACATATATATTCATTCATTTGCCTTTCATTACTACTTAACTATACATCGTACATACATTTATATATAGAATCTAGAATCTCTAATTTTTATTATACGATCTTACGTCTTCCGTAAACAAAAATTGTATTCTTTAATTTACAAAAAAAAAAAAAAAATTTTTTTTTTATTTACAAATTTTTATAAAAAATGCTTTATATTTACAAACGAAATTATTACATAGGGGTAATATTTTTATGCTTTACTCAGACAGAAAGTAAGATATTGTATCCTCGAAAATCAATTTTGTAAATCTCTATGTGCCTTTCAGAAAAACAATTAACGAATTGTTTTGTCTTAAGAATACTCAAAAAAGTGCTGAAAAATTAACAATATATAAATTGTTTATTTTATTATTATTATTGCAATGCATTTTAAAATCATTTTACATAAACAAAACATTACATTTTTACTTAAAATACAATTTTTTACCACCGTTTTTTATACATATATATAACTTATATATTTTTGAAGTTTACAAAAGAAAATACAAAATACAACTGTAAGCATTTAAAATAATAACTTTTTTAATATGGAATTTTATTTTTTAAGATATTTGGTGTACTAATATAATAAGGTAATTAATGCATACAAACATAAGGTATTATACTGACCGCGTTCTTTTGCATTAAGGAAACTTTAAACTTGCCTACAATTCCAACCATCAGCTACGCCAAAATCTTCGGGGTTACATTCGATAGCATGTTCAAATCATTCGCGTAAACCACAGCTATCTCCGATAAGTTGAAACGTCCTCAAGTCCCCTACCAACTTACTGCAGAAGATCTGAGGCTGCAGCCAGTGAAAGTAGCTGCCTTTACTAATTTGGACACAAGTACAGAACCTAGATGAATCAAACAGAAAGAATAAATACATATTAAAATGCTACAACAACAATTGGAGGTTGTTGGTTGAGTGGAAAGATGCTTACTTTATCGCTGTCTACTCCAGACGACATGATTGTGGAGATTACTGTACCAAACTGTGATGACGCATATAGTCGCTATATATTCAATAGAAGTTGGATCGAAGATGTATAAGCATTGAGATGTCATCCGTTCCATGGGTAGGATATTTTGGGTTACTTATTGATCTGAAATCTATAGCTTTTTGAAAGAACAAAGTTCGGTTCTAGACTTGCTGGCAAAAATGTTCTATTAATGGTCATATTTTGGTAGTTTCAGACTCCTGGCATTTGACAAAGTAAGTGACTGGTGGAGGGCATTAAACGTTTGGGCCGACCGAACTTGGCGCCATTTTTTCTTTTTATACCCTTTACCACACTGTGGTATTATGTCTTTGTGCATATGTTTGTAGCAGGCAAAAGGAAACGAGATATATGTTTTCTTTTGATAATATGCATAGAATCAAGTTCTGAGTCGATTTTAACATGGACTGTCGTCTGTCTGTCCATGTTAAATTGTAAACAAAATGCAGGTAGCATTTATTATCCGAATATGATAAAATTTGGCACAGATCATTTATTTGCCCCCAGGACAAACCCTATTGAAATTGGTGCACCAAAGAGTCAAATTTAGGGCGATTGGCACCAAATTTTGCACGAAGTACTGAAGTTAGGATAGCTTAACGTGTGTCAATTTGTAATAAAATCGGTTCAGATTTAGATATATTTCCCATATATATTTTCGTCCAATTTATAGCAATTTTACCAGAAAAAGTGGACCGAAACTTATGATATTTAGTGGGGGGTACCCTTATATGGGAGCTATGCCTAAACGTGGACCGATATATATTTTCGAACTCTATGTAAAATTTTGGCGATCTATCTCAATTCATTTAGAAGCTATAGTGATTACAATAGCCAGACGGACATGCTTAAATCGTCATAGAATTTTACGCTGATCAAAGGTGGTAAAGGCTATCATATAGTCGGCCACGTCCGACTTTACTACTTTTCTTACTGGTTTAGTAATGAAATTATGCTTTCTAGGACAAATATGCAACATTCTTGTAGAACCGTTAGCTTGATTACAAGTACACTTATTGTGCCATCATTGTACTAACGGGTAATGCTAGGAATTCTATTTTGCAGGATAATGTATATAACGTAGTGCAGTGTATACATGAGTTGTTTATTTTGAAAGTGGTTTAAGTCAATTTTTTCTTAACGTAATATGTTTTGTATACTTTTCTAGAAATCCAAGATTTGTATCAGAACCTAAAAGGGACTTAAGCCACTTTCAAAATAAACGAGTCACATGTAGCCAAACATTTGTTTTATTCTCTTTTCAGGATAATATGTATGGTAATTACGATCCTGGACGATAGGGGTCCAACTCCAACAAAAATGTTCTCCCTTACCCCATTCTATAGTAACCAGATGTTTTTCGAAGCGCCAATGACTAATTGTTGTGTCATAATAAATTTGTAATGTCGTGTTTTAGGAATTGCTAAATAAATGTTCTTGATTCACTTGAATACGATTTTTTGTTGCCCAAAATGGTTATAATTTCTAGTTAATTAATTTGCAATAATAAACCAATGTTTTGTTTTCTTTATTATTTAGTTGACTGAATTTGAATTGTGTGACAAAGGAAATCATTTGTCGCATATTACTCACAAAGCTCCAACTAATGGCGATTGTTTTTTTTTGCGAAAATAAAATGACATGGAAAATTTTAACTGCAACAACAAAAACAAACCATTTATGGCGGCAATTTATTAAAAGTGTTTTTCTAAAACTATTAAAAAACGTTTGCGAAATTATAAAAGGTTGTAATGGAAATGTGTGAAACGTGTTGAGAATAATATAGAAATTGTTGAGATTGCAAAGCTGCTGGGGTGTTTAGATATTTCCTCACATTAATAGCTCTGTCTGTTAACTCGATATTTGGTAACAATTGTTACGAAATGTCAAAGAGAGTCAAGTGAGAGAGCAAGTTTGACAGTTGAACAACAACAAAGTTGCTGGAGTTTATTTTTTTTTTTTTTTTTTTTGGTTTTTGAAAGTTGAAACTTGGCCAATTTCCAGATAACGCCACAACAAGCAATCGGGAGGGTTCCGCTAGGTCGTTAATGTTTAGAGCAGGTAAAAAATATTTAAAAAACCACGCCTATATGTTTTATAGGTTATCTGTATTCGAAAAAACACGTGTTAGTTAAGCGAACGCTTAACAACCGCCATTTTGTAAAAAATCTATTTTTAAGCCCGTGGGCGTATAATGCTTTCTTAAACTTTTTAGATCACGTCCTTCTTGTGAGCCGTCCGAAGACGAACTGTTGCTGGAGTTTACTGAAAGAATTTTATTCAGTAAGATTTTGCAACTCAGCCATTTTCTGATCAGCTGTTTTCTGACCAAACACAAAAATTATTTAAAACATTTTTTAATTTGAAAAGTTCAATTTGAAGTTAAATACAGAAGATGGAAGAAAATTCGTAGGTAATACAAAGTTTCATTAAATTATAAACTAATTCCTTATATATTTTTAGGCAAGTTCCAGATAGAGAGCAATGTATTGATGCAGGGAGCTTAAATGTTCCCGGGGAACATACCAGATCAATTTTTCTTTTATTATTCACTTTATTTTTAATATTAAATGCAATACAAATAATTGTGTTCGTCCTTTGTTTGTTGTTTATTTTGGCGCAAATCAAATGTTTTCTTGAATCAGCTGTTTATTTGCTAAATCTTACTAAATGTTGTCTGTTTACTTTTTTCAGTATTATCGCAAAAGAGAGTAAGAAGGGCTTACTCTCTGAACTAGAACTTACTGAATAAATGTTACTGGAAAAGTAACCAGACACACCTAATATCAGTGAATAACTTAAAGACCTTGTGAGGATGAGAGAACTCGAAATGTCAAATTAAAATGCCCTTAAAAATAGGCCTATTCAAAGCCGGGATGATGAAATTATGGAGGTGGAAATTTTCGTCGGAAGTTAAAAATCTTTCTCACAGAAAATTTTAATTTAACTTAGGAAAACTCCCTCCCCCCATTTTAAATTTTCAAGATTTTCCATGGGCTGGTAAATCAATACCAAAGTTGTTAAGGTTTGTATCTTTGCAGATATATATTTTAAGATTTAAAAGAAAAGAAAAATAATTAAAATTTTGTTGTTGTTTTATTGGATTAAAGAAAAGTCCTTATTTTTGATGGCGGGCATAATAACTCCTCACTGGCACATCGGAATCTGAAAATTCCATCGGTGTTAGAAAGGGTAAATGTTTTGGCTCTCGTATGAACTAGGATTATTGACTTCGCTCAAAAATCAACAAAATGGCGGACTTTGAAAAAATATTTTTGAAAAATCACCAGTTTTTTACCACAAACCAAGTTAACAAATAAGGATGATCTTGACCGATTGGATTTATCCTAGTTCATACGATAGCTATACACTCACAGAGAAACGTCCCAAAAATTTGGAATCGATTATTATTCTTTGAGTTATCGTGCCCGCCATTCGCAAAAACGCTGTTTGGAGAAAAGTGCGTTTAAAGTTTGAGAAGCCCTCTTGCCGCCACTTGATGCTAGCACAATAAATCGGCTATATCTTCAAGAGTTCTTGAGATTTTCACTTGAAATTTTGTAGCGACAAAAACTAATAAAAAAATTTTACCCCGAGAATAGGGGGTCCCCTTAAAGGAAAAGAAAAATAATTAAAAATGTGTTTGTTATTGTTTTATGGGATTAAAGAAAAGTACTTATTTTTGATGGCGGGGATAATAACTCCTCAATGGAGCATCGGAATCCGAAAACTAGGATTATTGACTTCGCTCAAAAATCAACAAAATGGCGGACCTTTGAAAAAATATTTTTGGAAAATCGCCTATTTTTTACCACAAACCAAGTTAACAAATAAGGAAGATCTTGACCGATTGGACTTATCCTAGTTCATACGATAGCTTTACACTCACAGAGAAACAACCCAAAAATTTGGAATCGATCGGATTATTAGTTTTTGAGTTATCGTGCCCGCCATTCGCAAAAAACGCTGTTTGGAGAAAAATGCGTTTAAATAAATACCAAGTACCAGATCGGCATGTTCGGGTCGTAGAAATCATTAAAGGGGTTTACTTACTCGGCCTATTTCTAAGCTTGTAGTCTTGTTCGATAACTAGTTTGTATTCTGCTATTCGTACACAAGTACTGTTCTTATACGACCTTACATGCCTAAATATGTCAATGTCAACAAAAACAGTTCCAGAAAAGCCGCTACAAAAATGTAGATTTTTTGCCGTTTCCTCCAGTGTCCTCTTGCCTTAGGTGCTGAAAGTTCAGCACAATTAATTTTCTGGCATTGCATCAGTCACATGGTTAAGGTTCACATCAGATACATTCACCCGATTCGATTTTAAAAGATATAGCCTTTAAAATCGAATCAAATAATGCGTCCTCAATCCAGTAGAATGGAAGGATTTATTTCCCTACGGTTCTAGTTCGAATTGGTGGCTGCATGTTGAATTCATCATCGCTTCTGAGCCGAATTTTGAGATCATTTGTTGATATGATCCAGATCAATACGTTTCCAGTTTTAAAATATTTTTCCACAAAATAAAATTTTCTGCCTTGGAACTGGCTGTGTTGATCATAGAGATTTCACCCCCATAATACTTTCTTTCTACATGATGTATTCAACTGTAACAAATACATTTTAAAATAAATTAATATTTTGCATTCCACCCTAATATTTATAGAACAACATTGCCCCTTTGGCGAAAACACAACAATTGGTAATTAAGATTTTAAATAGAATTTTTAAGAGAGTTTTAACCATTTTTGGTTTTACGATAACATATTGACGAATCTTATCGAGTCTGTAAAAAATGGAAAGAACAAAAATAAGAAATAAAAAAAACGAGTCAAGATCTAAGGAAGGCGACTATTGAGCGACCACCGGAATTACAACAATAACGCCGACGCAAAATGTTATGCAAAACAAAAAACTACTTCTCCCCCGTGTGTCCCAATTTGAAGTGGTGGGGAAGTAATGGTGTTACAATTAAATACTCCCCCCCAAATGGCTTTGGCTTTAATGGATATGCTGCCTGTGATAATGACACTCGTGTTGTATGTTTTCGGTTTTACCTTATACAGGCAAAATCCGATCACAATTGGCTTAAATCGATCGTTTTGATAGCTTTTAATTTGCAGGTGTGACTTGGACAAAATCTAATTATTAACTTGTCGGATAAATTGCCATATATGGTGTTGAACATGTATCTTTTTAAATACATATGTACATATGTTTGTATGTTTATATAGGAATACGAGAGAAGGTGGTAGCAAAAACAACAACGTATATATGTATACACCAGATACAATCAAAACAGCTCTACACATTACAAGATCACCGGACCAATTTAAAACAATTCACGACCAGCTTGCAAGTGTGTAGTTTTTATGGCCAAATGTTATTGAGGCACAGAGTTAATGAAATTGTTTGTAATATTTTTTTAAGAAAATTTTCAATATATGTCCATGATTAATACAAATTTCCCGCCTCATTCTTGGTATGTTGAAGTCGTATGACAATTATACATCAGTTTCCAATTTACAGTAGTCGATGTTATTGCCCACATAAAGATGTGGCCAATTAAAAAAATAAATATTTTTTGTGGTCCACGAATACTAGAATGGATTTTTTTGAAGCTTTGATTTTTAACAAAAAAAAATTTTTTTCAAAACTATTTTTTTTCAAAAGTATTTTTTTATCATCGCTCCATTTGGATTTTTTGAAAATATTTTTCATAGGCGTGGATTTTTGAAAAATATTTTTCGTAGGCGGGTTTTTTTTTTAATATTTTTCATAGGCATGGATATTTTTTAAATATTTTCCATAGACGTGGATTTTTTTAAAACTATTTGTCATAGGTGTGGATTTTTTTAAAACTATCTTCCATAGACGGGGATTTTTTTTTTTAATTTTTTTCCATTTTTATTATTTCACCACACTGTGGTACAGGGTATTATGTCTTTGTGCATATGTTTGTAACAGGCAAAAGGAAACGAGATAGACACATGGTTCCTTTTGAGAATATGCATAGAATCACTTTCTTAGACGATTTATGCATGTCCGTCCGTCCATCCGTCTGTAAATGTTAAATTGTAAACAAAGTACAAGTCGCATTTATGATCCGATTTGGATGAAATTTGGCACAAGTCACTTATTTGGCCCAAGGACGAACCCTATTGAAATTGGGAAAAATCGGTTCAGATTTAGATATAGCTCCCATATATATTTTCGTCCGATTTAAGGAAATTGGGCACCAAAGTCCCTCTATATTATTCGATATATATATTTTTGTCCGATTTTATGTTAATGGTACACCAAAGTCCCTATATACCTTTCGATTTGCACGAAATTTGGCATAGATTATTGAATTAGGTCCAGAATGATGTGTGCTATGTTCCGTGAAAAACGGTTCAGATTTAGATATAGCTCCCATATATAATTTCATCCGATTTTATGTAAATGGTACACCAAAGTCCCTATATACCATTCGATTTGCACGAAATTTGGCATAGAGTATTGAATTAGGTCCAGAATGATGTGTGCTAAGTATCGAAAAACGGTGATGTGTGCTTTTATGTAAATGTTATATACCTTTCGATTTGAAAAACGGTTAAATTAAGTCAGATGTGAGTTAAGATATAGATTTAGATATAGCTCCCATACATATTTTCGTCCGATTTATGGTACATGGGCCACTAAAGCCCTATATATCTTTCGATTTGCACGAAATTTGGCATAAAGTACTGAATTAGGTCAAGAATGCCGTATGCCAAAAATTGGGTCAGATTTATATATAGCTGCAATATATATTTTCGTCCGATTTTAGGTAAATGGGTCTCCAAAGTCCCTATATATCTTTCGATTTGGCATAGGGTACTGAATTGGGTCCAGAATGATGTGTGCTAAGTTTCGTGAAAATCGGTTCAGATTTAGATATAGCTCCAATCAGCAACGTACACAGGATTTCAATTCGCCGGGCCCCCCTGGCCGCCCCCTGCGTACGTCCCTGGCTCCAATATATATTTTCGTCCGATTTAATGTGCACTAAAGAACCAAAGATTGGCCGACCCGCACACAATTTTGGACAAAATACTGAAGTTACTATAACCTTTTGTGTGTCAAGTTTTCTTGAAATTGATTCAGATTTACATATAGCTCCTATATGTACATTCGCTAATTTTTAAGTAAATGGTGTACTAAAGACCCATAGCTAGGCCGATTGGCAAAACGTACTGAAATTAATTTGTCTGTTACCGTACTGCAAGAATCTACAACTTTTTACTACGATAATATGATATCGAAGAAAATAGTAAGATCTAGGATAAATTAAGTCCTTAATTTTCCTTGAAATCGGTTCAGATTTAGATATAGCATAGCTTCCATATATAATTTCGACCTATTCATGTTGATTGTAAACCCAATAATCAATGGTTACTTGATTGGTATTACATTTTAAACTGTGAACTTATAGATAAAGATCGAATTTTTATATTCGTTCAATTTCATGTCAATGTTCCTTCGAAAAGGCGACATCTGTAAAGATACATATGTAGACTATCCCCAAAGTGGTGAAGGGTATCATATAGTCGGCCCAGTCCGACTTTACTACTTTCCTTACTGGTTTATAATATTTTTCATAGTCGTCGACTTTATTAAATATATTTTTAATTTTTTAAAAAATATTTTCCATAGGCTAAGATTTTTTTTAAATATTTTTTATTTTTTCAACAAAGACTCGGATCAAAAAAATAGATTTCCATGGTTTCAATATAAGTGTGGATTTTTTAATATAGTTCCATGCTTCCAATATAGGCGTGGATATTTTTAAATATATTTCATAGACCCGACATACGATCTGATTCTGATCACAATAAATGGGAGTTGAGCATCCTTAAACCAAAGAGATATCAAAGTGTAAATAGGTTACAAATCGATTATGTAAGGGATCTGACAATATTGTCAGAGAAAATCGATATCAGTATTTAAAATTTTCTTATTGACATCTACGTCAATATCAATTTTCTATATACCTACATTTTATATAAATTTTTTCAAGAGCAAAGAAGGAAAATAATTTTCTTCCAGAAGGAAAAACTAAAAAAGCGAATTTTTAATTTTAAATAAAAATATCCCAACATGTCCTCGGAAGAGAAGAGAAAGAAACTCGATGAGCGTAATTCGTATTACATTCAGGTCAAGGCCATTGATCCGGATCGCAATATTAAGAAGCTGCGAAAAATATTCGGTGTCTCACATACCATACAGAAGCAGACTTTGCGTCGTCTCAGTGTAACCGATCAGGAAAAAGAAGAATTGGAACGTAAACGACTGCAAAATTTAAAGGAGCTGAGGCAGCAGCGCATCTCATCGTTGGGTGCAAATCATCGCTATATTTTGGAAATTGTTGCAGACCTAATGGGAGCTATGGAAACAGATGAAATTATAGCTGGTGTGGTGGATGATCCGGGATTTGTTGATTTACTCTCTTCGCTCTGCGAGAAAAACGGAATGCGTGCATGCATGATAAGCTATGCTGCCATGACGGGATATCCTCCGGATTCTGGTCGATATGTGGAAAGTATGAAACGACAAAGCGTATATCGTGCCATAGTTCAACGAAGTGACGATGTTCGATTATTCGGCAAATGGGTTATTCTGTATCGCAACAATAAAACCAAATCAATTGATAATCGTACAATATCGGAGGATATATCATTTATATCGTGGAAATCCGAACAAGCCGATAATTGTTTATTTATCATTAAGAATTTCATAGATCGCATTCTCCTAAAATCGGTTGAAAATTTCACCGAATTTGGCTATGCTGAATTTGAACAGAAACGTAAATTTTTCCACATCCTAAATATGTACAATGCCTTTTTGAAATCATCGGAAGCCACTGTATCCAGTCGGGTCAATTTCGAAGTGTCACATGAGCTTTTCAAAGGTTTCCTATTGGTGAAATTTCAAATTGAAGCCAGTTCAAAGGATGTCAATCGGGTGAGGCTCGTAGAGAAATATTTTAATTTATGGATGCGTCAAATACAGGGAATTCAGGTGGAGGGTAAACAAATCCAAAGAGATAGTCCCGACGTGGGACCGCTACAAATGTTGGTTCTGTGGCGTCGTATGTTGGCCCGTTATACCTCAATTAAGGAATTTGTTTCCTCGCAGGCTTTCAATAATCACAAACAATGTTTGACATTGTCAAGGTCATCGAAGCTATTGAAGGTGGGAGTGAAGATTATTATAAAATATGTATTTAAATATGAATTTATTTTTTCAGAAATGGTCGGAAATTGACAATCAAGTGACTTTGGTCTTAAACGAAGCCAAAGATAATGTTAGATATATAACTTCGCTACAAAAGTGCTGGGATCCTTTATACAGGTGAGACGATTGTTTTGTCCACTATTATTTATAATTAAAGTACTGGTCGTAGTTATGGACTAATGGTGCTCTCGACATGAGGGCATAGGTGTCATCCTAAAACGATAGTTCGGTTAATATTTAGGGTCCACCAATAGGCGTGGATTTTTTTAAAAATAGTTTCTCGTTGTCTACCAATGGACGTGGATTTTTTCAATATTTTCCTGTTGTGTACCAATAGGCGTGTTATTTTTTAAAAATATATTCCCGTGCTTTATCAATATGCGAGGATTTTTTAAAGATATTTTCTGGTCGCCATACATTTTAGTTTTAGTCGTACACACCTGTCTGTCGATTGGGCGCCATTGATATCTCACGAAATTATATAGAAACTATATCTACATTTGAATCGATTTCAATTTCGGAGAAACGTTTTCTATCCAAATTTTATCTTCTTCCTTTTTTTCTATTTTTAGATCATCTCCCGATGAAATAATTAGCAGTCTACCTGGTCTATTGATAGCGATACGCAATGTTTCCAAGGCGGCCCATTACTTCAATACACCAAGCAATGTAACGGGTCTCTTTGTGAAAATCTCCAATCAATTGACAATAGTTAGTAAAAACTTTCTAACCGATAATGGACGTCTGAATCTATGGACTATGTCACCAAAGAGGTTATTGAAAAAATAGAGAAATGTCGAAAAATTATCGAAGTCTACAAGGATCAATATCATACGACATGTCGTGATATGGCCGAGGCGGATGAGAAACCATGGATAATATCATCGGTTTATATTTTTACTTGTCTAGAGAAATTTCTGGAACGTTTGGATAAGGTAAGGTGACATCGAAAATCAGTTCATTTCTTTATTAATATTCTTCGGGTCCTTTAGATTAAATCGATTTGCATTACCGAAATAACCTATACCGTGTTCGATCGTATACGCATTAGCGGCATGGAGAAATTCAATGCGATAATAAAAAATGCCAAAGCGGTGATTAGTTCCAAACCCTATGATCCATTAAATTATCGCAGCGATACATTCGACAAGGACTACGAACGTTTCGTGAAAGATGTCGAAAAGGCCGAAGTCGGCATGCAACAGTTCGTAAAGCAACAAATAACGAATGTGCCAACAGCCGAATCGGTTTTGTTGATATTACAGCGATTTGAACGGCTGAACTTGGAATGTTTGTGTTTGGATCGTCGTTATTTGGAAGTCTGTGAAATGCTGGAAAAGGAAATGTTCCAGCTGAAAGATGTGTAAGGGGAAATTTTCATTTGGAATTTAAATAATTGCCAATCTCATTTTTTTCAGCTACAACGAGGAACGCGGAGATCCATATGTTTCCCGTAACTTACCACCCGTCGCCGGACGTATTATGTGGATACGTTCGTTATTCCAAAAAATCGATATACCCATGAAAGCTTTAAAGGAGCGCACCTGTGTTTTGGCCAACAAAAAAGCTCAACGTGTTGTCCGATATTATAATTATATCAATGGCATAATCTGCCATTATGAAATGACATATCACAAGGCATGGTTCGATTACGCCGAAGAAGTTCGTTGCCTGTTGAATTCACCGATTTTAAATTGTAATAAAGATGCTGCCATATATACGGTGAATTTAGATCCAGCCATAAGGCAGTTGATAAAAGAGACGGAATGGATGTGGAAATTGAAGTTGGAGGTGCCAAATATTGCCTCTGTCGTTACCTATTGTAAGGAGATTATATTGAGACCTGCAGAATCTCTGAAAAATGCCATACAGCAATTTGATAAATTGCGCCGCAGTATTACGCCAGTCTTCATCAACATAATGCGTTTTCGTTTAAAGGAGATATCGGTTTTGCTGAAACCGGGTCTGTCGACCATAACATGGCTATCGGAAAATTTAGAAGATTTTGTGAGAGGTGTGGAGGAGGTAGGTTGGAATTTTACAACTTTAATTAATCAAGTAAAATTGACCATAAGCTCGGTAGGGCATTCGAAATACCCATGGTTCGGGACGTTTATATCAAAACTATGTAATTTTTAACATCTGTCAGGACAATTTTATTCTGTGACAAAATCGAAGTACCGATTTACAGACAATCACATGTTCAGGGGAGGTAACGTCGCCATTAATCCAAATTTGAAGTGTTAAAAAGTAAAAAAGTGTCAGTCGGCGTTGCCGACAGCCTATGGTTTGTGAAGGTCTTCGTAATTAAATTTAGAAGTTTATAAAATATTGACCCTCTGTGGGGGAGGTACCAAAGGGAGTGGACTAATGAGTCCAAATCGCACTTGATCTAGCCTAGGTTGAGCAAAAATAGGTTCAAATCGGACATTCCATTCGCCTGATATTGGATTTATTGGATATTGAAAATTTTGACCATTCGTGGGGGAGGTACCAGAATGAGTGGACCAATGGGTTTCCATTTTCAAACTTGATAGGCATGGAAAAGGTTATAGCTTGTGCTAAGTTTGGTTCAAATCGGACATTCCATTTGCCTGATATCGGATAGTCCGTTATCATAGAGTAAATTTTTAGTACAATTTAGACTATTCGTGGGGGAGGTACCAGAAGGAGTTGACCTATATTCCCAATCTTCAGACTTGAGCTAAGTTTGGTAGAAATATTACGAGGTGCAAAGTTTGTATGAAATCGGTTACTCCAACTCAATAGGACAATTTTTCGAAAATCTTCAAAATACCGAAAGTAGGGATATACCGATATATGGGATCGACACCGAAACATTGAACATGACTGCAAAAAATACACTTGCTAGAGCGATTATAATATACAGACGGACGTGGCGAAATCGTTTACTTTATTCGACATAAACTGATTATTTCCCTCCCTCTATAATATGTTGGAGGTTATAAAAATAAAATCCAAATTAAAAATAAATGTGGACCAATTAGTTTGAAAAACATTTTCTTAATTGATTTTTTTTAATTTTCTTTTATAGAAAATCAATGAAGTATCGACATTTTATCAAACTATTCTGAACATCGATTCCATTCGGATAATGAATGAAATGAAATCCCTGCAACAATATATGTATATGTACACCCCCACAACGGGACCTGTATCCTCTGAAAAATTCTATGAAAACTGTAATAGCTTACGTTTGGAAATCGAAAAGGAATTGGAAAAGAAATCTGTGTGTATGGAACGAGCCGTTATCGATTTGTGTAATATGTTTGTAGAGTTATTGGATTTCGGGCCATTGGATTCGAAAGGACGAAGGGTTTTCCAATTACCACCAGATAAAATTAACGATTCAAATTGGCGTGAGGAGGGTGTTATGCCCATCGACAAATGGGATTGGATACAATTTCAGAAAATCTATCGTACAATCTATTTGGTACCCGATGACATTCTGAAAACTTTGCAATTTAAAAATTACGAAAATATCCGTTATGAGTTGCATCATTTGCGTAACGATTGCATGGATTTGTTTTCGTATTATAATTCGAAAATGATTCTAGCGCTGGTGGGATGTTCGAAACGTTCGTTGGACTATGTGCGTCAGACGATTTTGAGGTGAGTAAAACGATTATATTACTAAAATACATTTACTGCTCCAAATAGTTCATATATTGAAGAAAAAATCGGCTGAAATTAATAATGTTATTTAAAAAAAACTGATTTTAGTCTAAATTTAATAAAAATTTAAAATTTAGCTCAGCTTAACATAGAAAATAGAAAAATATTAAACAATTTGGAAACGAATTATAAATCTGCAAAATTTTTATAAAGACTATAAAACCCGTTAATTTAGGGATACTCGTTCCTTTCAAGAATGCAGGTTTTTATACCATCAGTTTGTTCCCGATTTTCAAATACCCATAGTTTTTGAAACAAGTATAATGCTCAATCATATCGATATCTATCTTGTCCGCCAGGAGGTTATTTATACTACGAGGAAACGAAATACCAAATTACAGACACTCAGGATGAACAATATGGCTATGACCTTCAGCATATCCAGAATGGCCGGGATGTTTAGAGATTTATTCGCCATCATTGACCATATGACAAAAATATTATTGGAATATCATATTTGGATATTTTATTTTCATTGTAAGCATATTCAAATATTAACGGCGATTCGAAAATTAACCAAATTTTCTAATCTAAATTCGATATTTCTGATTCTACATCCACATTCGTCCAGTAAATCTGCTGGTAGGAGATTAACTATGCACACTATATTATTTTGTTGTGCCAAATACGTAAAAACTTTAGTAAAAAGTGAACGGATCTTCTAAATTTTTGATAATAAAACCGGTTTCAATGCCTTGTATGCAATCTTTGTAATGATAATGATTGTAAACAAATGTGTTTGATTTATTGAGCCGGTTATGATCTGAATATCCGGTTCAAAAATTTAGAAACCCGATTCTTTTTTCCTCCGAATTTATTTTATACGTATTTGGCATAGCTATCTCTTCGAGCATAATAGGGTAAGCAGCAAAAAAAATGATCACGCCATGTCTCCGAACTTTGACCTCTGATGTATTTTTCCTCCTGGAGTTTTCATATACTTACCAAGGTCTTTCATCCCCAATAAAAAAATTTTCCACCGTCTAGACCATTACCTCGATTTTGTCGCACAGTGTTTGAAGTTATTTTAAATAATATTTTCTATTCTCTATGCTTCTATTTCAGAACTAATTGGCGCACCGATTTGCGACCTCCTATTCTCTATACGGAACTTGAAATATATTTGGAATCCTCTTGTAGCATCGTTCCAAATCTAGAAGTGATGCAAGCTGATTTTCATCGTTCTGTTTTAAATTGTACGGAAATTAATTATTTTGTTACCACCTGGGGAAAACAGGCAAAGACCCACGAGAGAAGACAGCGTCGGGTTACTGTGGGTAAGTAAATGAAGGAACACAAAGTTGTTGTATTACAAAGCTGAAGAAAACAACTAGTAAGGAAAAGATCAAAGTCGGAAGGGACACCACTTTGGGTATATAAAAGAGGTGTTCGTAAGATTTTTATACCCTCATCCTTATGGCTAATGAGGGTATATACACTTTGATACGGCAAAAATGTGCCTCATCGAAATGTTGGTTTCAGACCCCATGTTTCTTTGGACCAAATCCATTTCAAATGTTTACAAATTTAGAAATGCGTACGATAGCCCTAGTGGGGAGTTACCGATTTCATCTAAACTCTCCACTTCATAATATTTCTTCCAAACTTAGTTTATGTTCGAAAATGGAGAACATCGGTCAACCTCTTCTGGTACCTCCCCCACCTATGATCAAAATTGAGCAAAGAAATAATTTGATAATATCATATTGACTTCCTGACTTGAACCAAACTTTGTACAACCTAGTATCTTTACCTAGAATAGATATAGTACGAACATGGGACCCATTGTTCCATTCCTTCTGGTACCTCCCTCACAAATGGTCAACATTTTCAATATTTATTTATTTGAACCAAACCTATGCATAACTTACTATGTTTATCAAACTTAGATCAAGTTCGGCGATGGGACCCATAGATCTACTATTCTTCCCCATAAATGATACAAAATTTGCAATATTTTATAAATCAAAAATCGGTCGAATCGAATGTCCGATTTGAACCGAACTTTGCACAACCTATCGGAGTGCCAATTTAGACCCTTGTGTTGTAAAATTTGCCTAGGCCCATCGAATTACCTAAAATTTTCGTCGAAGAAGTTCTATTATGAGCTAAAAACTCGTCTATTCAAAATAAGAACTCATACCAAAGCATGGACCGATATATTCCAAATTCCGAACAGTTGCAATAAAAGGGTGGAATTTCAAAGATCTATATAAAATATTGGGAGTTCTTTCGGGATTTCTAAAGGCCAGGCAGTAGGCTTAAATTTACATAGAATTTTATTCTGATTGGGGTTTGAGCAAGTTTTCGGAGCCTTTGTTTCAGAGGGCCAGCTTTTTTCTAAGAACTTTGATGGTCCTCGAAGCACTGAAATGACTGTAGTTTGGAATTCCGAGACCTTGGCGGGTAAACAGCTTCTTCAGTATGTTCAAGGTCCTAGCCTAATTTTCCAACCAGAGTACATATAGTTTCGATCGATTTTAGGTATTTTCATTGTCCGCCTCATGGTGGACCCTTCTTACTTCTTTCAGATGAAAATCGCTACGAACGTAACTACTTCCGTTATGTCATCGAACAAAAGGAAATTGTGAGAGCGATAACAAATCTTGCCAATGGCCTAATGATGTTCAAACCTAACATCGATGAATTCCTAAAGGAAATATTCAATAAACACAAATATCTTTGGTCCGCAGAGAGGGAAGCCATTATCGAAAAGTTTGTCAATACAAATCCTCTTACCGTCGATATACGCGATAAATTTATATATTACGATGAAATAACGGAACATCTGGAAAATGCCATACCACGGCATGTTATCGGGCCCATTGAAATTCGAATGGGTATGTATTAGAAGTTCTGAAGTTGTACTTCTCAATAATGTGTTTTATTTTGGCCAGAGAAAGCCTATGAAAAATTCGTCGAAGAATCGAAAAAATGGAAAATGTGTTTGGGCCAGCTGCTCAGTGCCCGCTACAAGAAACAATTAGATGAAATGGTTGATTTCATTTCGGAACAGGAAAACATCCTAGGGAAGCCGATTAACGATTTGGATGATGTCCGTTTGGCAATGTTGTGTTTGGAAAAGATTCGTGATAATTTTATTGAGTAAGAAGAGATTTATAAAATTTTACTTAAAAGGAATTATTACTCTCTCTATCTTATCTTTCTTTAGAATGGATATGCATTTGGGTGTTATTATTGATGCCTATGGTCTATTTTCCCAATATAATATTTATATACCTCGAGATGATTACGATAAGGTGGATAGTTTACAGTTGTCCTTTAATCGTATGCTGAATAACGTAAGTATAGAAATTTTTGGTTTATATCCTGTACCATAAGGTGGGACGGGGGATTGGGAGGTGGACATTCAAATGGTCAATTTTGGGTGAAAAGATTTGAAACGGAATGAAAACCAAAAATAGCAATTAATAGCAAATTTGTTTGAAGGAGGCCACAAAATCCCAAAAAAAGGTGGGGTACCGTTATGAAAGATCTACCACGAAACGTGGACCAATATTGATTAATTTTGGTAAGGTAATGTTCTACACAATAGGAATCCCAAGTACTAAAATACAGCAAATTGGGTTAAAAAATGTGCGCAAATTTGAAATATGGGTCTGTAGTACAAATTAGACCAATATTAATAATTTTTGGTAGGAAGAAGATTTGCTACCCAATGAGAACACAATGAGAAGGTTTTAGCGGCAATTTTCCACCACTGAAGTGGCTGCTATTTGACATTCCGATTTCTTGGAGGGTGAGAACCATCTTTGCAGAATCTTTTTTGATTTGGGGTCATGTTTTGACATGATATAATGATCCCGCACGATTTTCTGTGTTCTTGGAAATTGAAAAACAGCTATCCAAAGCTAGATATGGGACCATACTTTCATATGTCCAAACTCCCATATAATGCTCCCGCCCTATTTTCGAAATTTTGAAGGTTATAGCCGCAGTTTCCAAGCGAAGTGACTGCTATTTCGCATTCCGGGTTCTTAGAGGTTCTAATGTGCTATATAAGCTCATTTCCGGTATTTTGAAAATGTGGCTGGAATTTGGTCTTGGATCCGAACCATTATTGATATTATAAATATTCTACCTATGAAGTAGTTGAATGTTGGCTTCCATAAAAAGGCCCCCTTAAATTTATTCATTTCCTAGCCCAGTTTTCCAACCTGAGTGTCTTGAATTTGGTATTTCTTTTTCTCAAATAAATAAATTTTACTCTCTCCCTCTCGTTCCAGACCAAAAACGTTTCAAATCGCATTGCCGAAATGGAAGGACCTCTCCTTCTCGAGTTGACCAATGGCATTGCCGAATTTGTACAAGAATTCGAACAATTCAATATCGATTTTGAAGCCAATGGACCCATGGTTGATGGCATCTCGGCCAAAGAGGCCAGTGATCGGGTGTTTCTCTTTCAAAATCGTTTCGACGAACTTTGGCGTAAATATGAAATGTACAATAGCGGTGAGAAGTTATTCGGTTTACCCGTCACCGAATATCCGCTGCTGCATCAGAGAAAACGAGAATTCAATTATCTCAATCGTTTGTATTCGTTGTACATTCAAGTGTTGAAGACGATTGCCGATTATTATGAAATGCCATGGGCCGAGGTGGATATTGAAAAAATATCTACAGATTTGGCAGATTTCCAAGTACGCTGTCGAAAATTACCCAAAGGAATGCAAACATGGCCCGCCTATATTGTGTTGAAAACGAAAATTGATGATTTCAATGAAACATGTCCGCTGCTGGAGCTAATGACCAATAAGGCCATGAAGGAGAGACATTGGGTTCGTTTGAATGCCCTTCTGAAAAGTGATTTTGATCCGACGAGTTTTAAATTTACCTTGGGCAAACTGCTGGAGGCCCCCATCCTCCAGAACAAAGAGGATGTGGAGGATATTTGTGTGGGTGCCGGCAAAGAATTGGACATTGAGGCTAAGCTGAAGCAGGTCATCATTGATTGGTCGGTGGTAAATATCCAATTGGGTATGTTTAAAAATCGCGGTGAATTGGTGCTGAAGGGTGGTGAAACTCTGGATATTATTGCTGCTTTGGAGGATAGTATTATGGTTATGAACTCGCTGTCATCGAATCGTTACAATGCCCCCTTCAAGAAGGACATACAATTGTGGCTGAGCAAATTGGTCAACACTGGGGAGATATTGGAAAAATGGTTAATGGTCCAGAATTTATGGATTTATTTGGAGGCCGTATTTGTGGGTGGTGACATTGCCAAACAGCTGCCGATGGAGGCAAAACGTTTCACAAATATCGATAAGAATTATGTCAAGATAATGTATAGGGCAAGGGAGATTCCGAATGCGGTGGAATGCTGCACGGCAGATGAGAATTTGGCAAATACTTTGACATGGTTATTGGATCAGCTGGAGACATGTCAAAAATCGCTGACAGGATATTTGGAATCGAAAAGATTGCTGTTTCCGCGTTTCTTTTTTGTATCCGATCCTGTGTTGTTGGAAATATTGGGACAATCATCTGACCCGACATCGATTCAGCAGCATTTATTGAGTATATTCGATGCAGTGGCATATGTAAGTGGGAGGGGGATGAAGAAGTCGGATACTACTTTTTCTAATGGAGTCGATATACGTGTCTCTGACTTTGGAACCGGGTCGGTATATACGTTCACTAAGTAAATAGTGTGTATGTAAAAAGAGTGACAATCAGAGCGACGATGCTTTACATCAGTGTCGGACAAATACCACTCGCGTGCTCTCAGTAAGAGCATGGAAAAGAGGGTCTCTGGACGTGTCAGATGTTGCCACAATCGGGTCTTGTATGTGCAATACATCGAATAATATGTCTGGTCATTTTTTTATTTCCAAAGCACAGATTCGACACGACTCCTACTCAAATAGTTGGACTCCAAAGCCTGATCTGGGCATTCCTAATCTCAGAACAATTTTTTAAATCTTCCCCTTTCAGGTTGATTTCCAAGGTGGCGATACTATTGTCGCCTTGAATTCTTCAAATCATGAAAAAATCGCTTTGGAAAACCCTGTGCAATGTATCGGCAGTGTTGAAATCTGGTTAAATCGTTTACTCAAGGAAATGCAGGACACAATGCGCACGGTACTGGCCGGGATGGCAGTTAGTTTCAATGACCCACAATTTAATTTTGCCGAAGAATTTGCCTCATTTTGTGGGCAGGCGGGTATTATTGGTGTACAGCTGTTGTGGACTCGAGATGCTGAATATGCTCTGCGAAAATGCCGAACCGATAAGGGTATTATGAAAAGGACGAATACGAAATTTTTAAATTTGTTAAATCATTTTATTGATTTGACGGTGAAAGATTTGACACCCTTGGATCGGATACGTTTTGAGACCATGGTGACCATACATGTACATCAAAGGTGGGAGAGGAAGTTATCACAATTAAGACAAAAGAAATTATTAATATTCCAATTTTTAACTCAGAGACATCTTCGATGATTTGTGTAACATGCGCATCAGGTCCGCTGGAGACTTTGAGTGGCAGAAACAGGCTCGTTTCTATTATAACGATGAAAATGATGACATCATAGTTGGTATTACCGATGTCAATTTTATATATCAAAATGAATATTTGGGGGTGACGGAGCGATTGGCCATAACTCCCCTAACAGATCGTTGTTACATTACACTGGCCCAGGCAATCGGTAAGCTTGGGGGTGTTATTACATTTTGTTGGCAGATATTCTAATAATAACATTTGTTTTTAGGAATGTCAATGGGTGGTGCTCCAGCTGGACCTGCGGGTACTGGAAAAACCGAAACTACCAAAGATATGGGCAGAGCTTTGGGAAAACTGGTTGTGGTCTTCAATTGCTCAGATCAAATGGATTTTCGTGGTTTGGGTCGTATCTATAAAGGATTAGCTCAGTCCGGTTCGTGGGGTTGTTTTGATGAGTTCAATCGTATTGAATTGCCTGTACTCTCAGTGGCGGCCCAGCAAATTTAGTAAGTTGTGACAGACGCACAGTACAGTTGTGTCTTAAATATGTTGTATCAGGACCAGTTTAGTAAGACACATTGAAAAAAAAATCAATGTTACAAACACTGGTCCATGTTTCCGGGTTAGGACTCAATCGAAAATGGTCTCCCGAGATCAACTGTAATTTCTAAAAGTGTGGATGCATAGCAGCTCGATTTTTTGAAGTTTTGTGGGTATCACCAGATGTCTTTCCGGAAAATTGCAAATGCAAGTGCCACGGAAAAGCCCTACCGTATTTCGGAAACTTTAGGAATTTTTAAGTCATTAGCTATATTTTAATTTCGTGATTTCGTACTGGACCCACGTAGCATTACCTCCGATTAAACCCCTATTAAACTACTGTTTTCAATCACAATTGTCACGATAGGTTCTTAGAAGGTTCGCCTTAAAAATCCACGCTTATTGGTCGATTGGTTCTTGAGAAGTTTGTGTTTAAAAATTCACGCTTATTGGCCAAAAGGTTCTTGAGAAGGTTCGCCTTAAAAGTCCACGCTTATTTGTCCGTAGGTTCTTGAGAAGCTTCTCCTTAAAAATCCACGCTTATGGGTCCATAGACTCTTGAGAACAGTTTCTTTTAAAATCCATTCTAATTGGTCCAAAGGTTCTTGAGAAGTTTGTTTTTAAAAATCCATGCTTATTGGTCCAAAGGTTCTTCAGAAATTTGCCCCTAAACCAGGTTTATTCGTCCAAAGGTTCTTTAGAATTTTATATTTAAAAATAAACGCTGAGTGGTCCGATAATTCTTGAGAACACTGCCTTAAAAATCCACGCATATGGGTCCAAACATTCTCGAAAAGTTCGTCCTTAAATATCTACGCATATTGGTCAATATGTTCTTGAGAAGCTTGTCTATAAGAATCCACGCTTATTGGTCCCATGGGTTTTCGAAAATTGTCTTAAAAATTCAACGCTTCTTGTTTCGATGGATCTTGAGAAATCTGCCCTCAAAATCCACACTCATTGGTTCAATAGGTCTTGAAAACTCTGCCTCTAAAAATCTAATCTTATTGCTTCCATGACCCTTGATCCTTGCGAAATAAGTCTTTAAAATCCACGCTAATTGGTCTCGTGGTCCTTGATAAATTAGAATTTAAAATCCACGTTATTGGTCCACTGGTCCTTAAGTACCTAAAAAAAGATTTTTAAAAATGAAAATAATTGGCTTGTTGATCCATGAGAACAATTTTTCTTAAACCCAATTTTATTTCCCCCTCCTTACAGCATTGTGTTAACCGCTCGCAAAGAGAAACGTACTTCGTTCATCTTCAGTGATGGTGATCTGGTAACACTGAATCCCGAATTTGGCCTGTTCATCACCATGAATCCCGGCTATGCTGGACGTCAGGAGCTACCGGAAAATTTAAAAATTATGTTTCGTACTGTGGCCATGATGGTACCGGATCGAGCCATTATCATTCGAGTCAAATTAGCCAGTTGTGGTTTTAAAGAGAATTTAATACTCTCACGAAAGTTTTTCACCCTGTACAAGCTGTGCGAGGAACAGCTATCGAAACAGGTTCATTATGATTTTGGTCTAAGGAATATTCTATCAGTTCTGCGGACATTGGGTGCCCAGAAACGTGCCAATCCCAGTGATACTGAGGAGACAATTGTAATGCGTGTCCTGCGTGACATGAATGTATCCAAACTGATCGATGAAGATGAGGGATTGTTTTTATCCCTCATTGAAGATATGTTTCCTGGAATAAAACTGACCACAGCTGCCCATAAGGATTTGCAGAGGGCCCTTAGCAAGGTGACCGAAGATTTAGGTTATGTAAATAATCCCGAATGGAATTTAAAAGTGGTACAACTTTATGAAACTTCACTGGTACGACATGGATTGATGTTAATGGGCCCCACTGGATCGGGTAAGACCAGTTGCACAATTGCCATGTTACGCTGCTTCACCGAAATGGGTCATCCCCATAAGGAGATGAGAATGAATCCGAAAGCTATAACAGCACCACAAATGTTTGGACGTTTAGATGTGGCCACCAATGATTGGACGGATGGTATTTTTTCCACGCTGTGGAGACGATCACTGAAAGTACCCAAACATCAGAATACATGGATTGTTTTGGATGGTCCTGTGGATGCGGTATGGATTGAAAATTTAAATTCAGTTTTGGATGACAACAAAACACTGACACTAGCCAATGGTGATCGTATTAAAATGGCGGAGAATTCGAAGTTGGTGTTTGAGCCGGACAATGTGGATAATGCATCACCGGCCACCGTATCCAGGGTGGGTATGACTTTTATGAGTTCATCGGTGTTGAGATGGAATGTTTATATGGAGGGTAAGTTCAATGGGATCCTAAAATTGGAAGCATTTCAATTTATTTTATTTATGTCGTGTTATAGCCTGGGTCAGACGTCAACCTGCCTTTGAACAGGATGTGTTTCGTCGCTGCTTTGGCGCCATCTATGATGAGGCCCATTTATATCTGCAGACGAAGCTAATTGCAAAAATGAAAATCTTGGAAGCGATTTATATAAAACAGCTCTTGGAAATATTGGATGGCCTGTTAAGCGATTGCCCTAACCGCTCGGAGAAGTTTTTAGAGCGTACCTTCCTCTTTGCCATGATGTGGACATTGGGAGCGGTATTGGAAATTAATGAACGTGACAAATTGGAGGAGTTCTTCCTGAAACATCCATCGAAATTGAGTAAGTTAAGAAATGGATCATTGGGGGCGGTATTGGAAATTAATGAACGTGACAAATTGGAGGAGTTCTTCCTGAAACATCCATCGAAATTGAGTAAGTTAGAAATATAATTAAGAATTAGTGGAACGGTCGAACTATTTGTTAGTGGGATCAAAATATTCTGAGTAGAGAATTTGCAGCCTTCATAAAAAACTCTCGACCCATTTTAGGCAATTTTAATATCTTAATTAAATATTCTATTAAGTGTTCTAAATTATATGACAATAATAAAAAAGTAATAAATTTCTCTCTTCTACCTAGAATGGCCCAAAAAACAACCTGGTGAAACGGTCTTCGAATATTATGTCGACGAAAGTGGCAATTGGCAGCATTGGAATAATCGTGTCGAACAATTTATATATCCGGAAGATTCTATCCCCGAATTTTCATCCATTCTTGTCCCAAATGTGGATAATGTTCGCACCGCCTTTCTCATGCACAACATAGCGAAGCAGAAGAAACAGGTCCTACTGATCGGTGAACAGGGTACAGCTAAAACTGTAATGATCAAGGGATATATGGCCAATTACGATCCGGAATTTCATTTATCGAAATCTTTTAATTTTTCATCGGCCACTACCCCGAATATGTATCAGGTAGTCAAATGTCTTTCTTTCATAATTCTCATAAGCTTTTTTTTATATTTTTAAAATTCCTATAGCGCATCATTGAATCATATGTCGAGAAGAGAGTTGGTACAACCTATGGCCCACCTGGCCAGAGATCAATGACAATTTTCATTGATGACATCAACATGCCGGTGATAAATGCCTGGGGTGATCAAATTACCAATGAAATTGTGCGGCAAATGATAGAGCAGAGGGGTTTCTATTCACTGGATAAACCGGGTAAGTGTAATGCGATTTTTATAACCTTCCCCAAGAGGTGGATAGGGTATTTATTAAATTTGTCTTTCCATTTCCAACATCCTATCGTAAACTACATAAAATACTCGAAAACATTTATAACGACGGCCGGTCGAAATTAGTCGCTATAGGTAGAGATGTATTTACCGGTTAAATACCTATGGAGTGGATAAATACCAGATAAATGCTATTTACTATATTGAATCGGCAATACAATATCTTACACCCTATTTCCGGGGTTCTGTTATCAAATCGATTCAAAATGGATAGTTTTATAACACTTTAAACATGTGGGTAAATACTTGGGTAAACTCTTTAACTGCCAACTTTTGGGTAAATACCCGAAATCATAGACCGTAATATAGGGGCTACAAAAAAAAGTCGATCTATGCGGATACATTTTTGCATGAACATTTTGCACAAAATGAGAACTCACAATGCCAAATTATAGCCAATTAGATTGTGCAATGTGGACAATAGATAAAAAATGCCTTAAATCCGGAGGTACGGGCTATACCAAAATATGGACACAGGGACCCCATTTTCCACACCAGCACTCGTTTTGGCATTAAAAACATGTGAGCCAAATTTGGCAGCCTGTGTCAAGTGGTTTGCCAGTTAATGAGTTTATACCCAATATTTGGGTAAATACTCAAAACAGTACCTTTATATGGGGGCTACCAAAAAACGTAGTACTTTGGCATTTCGGGTTCATGAAGTGTAAAAAAACATTTTTGCAGAAAAAACTTTCTAGATTTCTTTTCTCGAAGAGAACAATAATTTCCGAAATGCCTTCGTGAATTGATTTACATCTATATTTTAAGTGTTGAGATTGTCATAGATGCGCTGCCCTAACATTTTTCTAAGCTGTCTTCCGAACTTTACGTTACCCAATAAGCCTTGGATTTGTTCCGGAAGGGTATAGGTTTTGACAGTGGTCCTATAATTGTAAATATATTTTATATGTGCCAGAAAAATAGTACTCTTGTAAGACCCCACATTCAGATTTTCTAAAGGGTCTGGGCTTGAGCTAGCATTGCTACGAATTAGTACTAGTTATATGATTTTTTTGCTTTACTTACCAGTAGTGGCACCTTCGGCGTTGGTGATGGTATTATTGGGTTGAACGAAAGGTAAACTTATGGCAGGTCCATTCCCCTGTTTCAGTACGGAAATTATTTTTTCCGTCAGACCCAATGTTGCCGTTTCACTCCGATAGAAGTTTTATATGGGTAGCCTCAATCAACTATCATCTTGTTAATAGTCTTCTTGGGAGTTGGTTATCTTGTTGTCTCTCCCTCACTGCATTATGTGCTGATTACCTCCTCTCCTTGCCCAAACTTGAAGAAGACAGCATTGGACCCATGGTATGTCTTACGTTTGTCTTACAAAGCAGACTGCAATGGAAGATTTGGCTAAGACTACCGAAAGGAGAGTCCCTTTTCATTCTCCTTCCTGTCTTTTATCACCATACTCTAATGCATACAGTTCCTTCGGTAATTGTAAGGAATGAAGGAAGAGGGAATACCTTCCTCAGCTGCTTGAAATATTTGTTTCGGTGGGATATTCCCCATTAAACTCTTAGCTTAACAGATCGGGGAAGGGAGCCTTCTTTGCAGGAGGAGAACCAAAATGTTGTTGTTGATCACCGCTCTTTCAGCATATTTTTGTTGAACTTTTTCTCCCTCCTTGCCGCTTCTTGGGAGGTGAGGGAAATCAGTATTAATCTTGAGAGCTACTATGCGTTCCTGGTTTTATGCTTCATCCTGGCTAACTTGCACCTTTGGAAATATTATTGCTCACTTTTTCTCTACCCATCCGGCACTCCAATGTCTTGCTTTCGATTTCAAGCTCGATGTTTGAGTACGCGCCTATATTAAAAGGTTGGGTAGAGATTACTATTTTCATAGGTTTTGCATTTGTCTGCTCTTGTGGAGACCTAATCCTCTTCGCCGTTTGTTAGGAGGGAGACGGAGGGTTAGGATTCGCCTTGGTAAAGATTATCCACCTCATGTTCGTTCTTTACCAAGGATTAGCCTTGGTAAAGATTATCCACCTGATGTTCGTTCATGATTTTCTGCTTCAATTTTCTCAATATCCTTGCTCACCTTTTCTCACGTCTCTATACACACTTTTCTATAGAAAATTCAATTCAGGAATCTTTTGCTGCTATTCAAAATCTCAATTCAGTTAGCTTTTGTTATTAGAAAATTATATTCAGCTAACTTTTATATGCAAAACTCGCCGAGTGTTTTTTTACGGAAAATAGTCAATTCAACTATTTTTCCTCTAGAAAAAATTAACACGCCTATGTTTTGTTTTATATAAACCCTATTCAGCAAAGTTTGTTGGTAGAAAAATATATTTTAGTTTGCAATTTAAATAACATTTTCCTTCGTTTTTTTTTTTTTTTTATTTTCAGGCGACTTCTCGACAATATTGGACATACAAATACTGGCTGCCATGATTCATCCGGGTGGTGGCCGTAATGACATCCCACATCGTTTGAAACGACATATGGCCATATTTAATTGTACTCTACCCAGTAATAATTCCATGGATCAAATATTTAGTCAAATTGGTAGTGGTTACTTCTGCCCGGCGCGTTTCAAAGAAGAAGTTGTCGAAATAATTCCCCAATTGGTCCCACTAACCCGAATCTTTTGGCAGAATGTCAAAGTGAAAATGTTACCGACTCCCTCCAATTTCCATTACGTTTTCAATTTACGTGATTTATCACGCATTTGGGAGGGTATGTTAAAGGTGGCCAGTGAAGAATGTCAAACGGTCGGGAATGTTTTGAAGTTGTGGCGTCATGAATGTACTCGGGTAATTGCCGATCGTTTTACGGATTATAAAGACACAGCATGGTTTATCGATCGAATGAAGAAAGATGTTAAGGCGAATTTAAGTGAAGAATATTGGGAGGAGTTTCCCGAGGATGAGACATTCTTTGTGGATTTTCTAAGAGATCCACCCGATGCCCAGGAGGATGATGAGGATATATCATTGGAACCACCAAAGATCTACGAAGAAATTTTGAGGTGTGTAACTTACATAAATCGAAATCAACTATGATTATTTACGCTTGTATATCCTTTCAGCATGGACCAAGTCAAGGATCGTGTGCTGTGGTATATGGGCCAATTCAATGAATACGTGCGCGGTTTTCATATGGATATGGTATTTTTCCATGACGCATTGGTCCATTTGATAATTGTATCGCGTATTTTGAGCATGCCACGGTAAGTTCTACAATTTATTAAGACCTCATTTACATATTTTTCATTCCCTTTGTAGTGGTAATGCCCTACTTGTGGGCGTTGGTGGTTCGGGCAAACAAAGTTTAACCCGTTTGGCTTCATTTATTGCGGGTTATAAATTTTTCCAAATCACATTGACTCGTGCATATAATGCTGGCAATTTGATCGATGATTTGAAATATTTATATCGCACAGCAGGCCTGGAGGGTCAAGGCATAACCTTCATATTTACCGATAATGAAATAAAAGATGAAGCGTTTTTGGAATTCATAAATAATATTTTGAGTTCGGGTGAAATTGCGAATTTGTTTGCCAAGGATGAAATGGGTAAGTAGCAATAAGAATTGGACGTAGTGTAGCATTTGTTTCTATAGAAAAAAAATTCAGCTACTTTTCTCAATGAAAAACGACATTTCTGTAAAATAAATCTATTCAGCAAATTTTTTCCTGTCGAAAAAGTCAATTCAGCTAACTTTTCAGTTGTGAAAGTCAACTCAGTAATATTTTCCTGTAGAAAAAGGCAATTCAGCAAACTTTTTTGCCTGGAAATTCAACTCAGCATTTTTTTCTATGCACAAAATTCATTCAGTATAAAAAAAAATCGTTCTATAAAAGCATTAATTTAGCAAACATTTTTAATGGAAAAAGTCAATTCAGCTAACTTTTTTGTTGAAAAAACGAACTTTTTTCTGTACTAAGGTTAACTCAGCATTTTTCTGTAGAAAAAATCAATTCAGAACACTTCTTTGTAGTCAATTCAGCAATGATTTCCTATAAAAATAGACAATCATAAAAATATCTAATTCAGCAATCATTTTCTATAGAACTCATTAAAAGTTTTATACAAGAATACAATTCACAATTTTTCTAATAAACATCAAATTCAGCTATCATATTCTAGAGAAAAAGTTAATTCAGCTAAATGTTACAGAAAACACAATTTAGCGCAGTTTTTCAATAGGAAATATTCAGATAATTTAGCGAACTTCTAATAAAGAAACATTTAATTAATGGATTTTTGGAAATAGTCAATTCAGCTAAGTTTTTTTACACAAAAATCCAATTTAATTAATTCAGCGAACTTTTTAGCGGAAACTTCAATCCAGCAAATTTATTTCACGGAAAAACATTATTCATCAATGTTTTTCTACAGGAAAACATAATTCAGCAATGTTTTTCTATTAAAAAGTCAATTTAGCAAAGGAATATTTCATTCAGCAAATTTATGCGTTAACTCAGCATTTCTTTTGTAGGAAAATCTAATTAAAAAATACAAAATAAATCAATTCAGCAAACTTTTTAAGTAGAGAAAGTCAACAAAGGTACTTTTCTATAGAAATATGAATTCAGAAAAATCAATTCAGCAAACTTGTTCTTTAAAAACAATTTATTCAGCTAAGGTATTCTGCATAAAAAGTAATTTCAGCTAACTTTTTCGTTAGATAAAAATCAATTCCATAAATTGTTTTTGAAAAAAGTAAAATTCAGCTATTTTCTCTACAAAACAAAAAACTGTTCAACAATTGTTTTCTGTAAAAACCGAATTCAGCGCAGTTTTTTAAAAGGAACATATCATTGAGCGAACTTCTTATATAGAAAGATTTAATAAAGGGATTTTTTTGTGCAGAAATATTCAATTCAGCAAAGTTGTTCTAAAGAAAATCCAAATTCAGCTAAGATTTCCTATATTATAAAGACCGAATTCAGTGCAGTTTTTTTTTTCATTGAGCGAACTTCTTAATAAAGGGATTTTTTGTAAAGAAATATAAAATTCAGCAAACTTTTTCCACAGAAAACCCCAATTTATCTATGTTTTACCATAGAAAAAGCATTAAGCTCAAAGAAAAAGAAATTTAAAAAAAATATATTCAGCGAACAGCATAGTCTTTCTACACAAAAATACAATTCAGCAAATTGTTTCCTTATAAAAAAACTTAATTCAGCAATATTTGTTTTTATTAAAAACGACAATTTAGTAATGAAAGTTTTGATTCGGCGAATTTCTTCTATAGAAAAATTTAATTCAGCAAGCATTTTTTAAAGTAAAACTTAATTAACAAGGGCTTTCCATAGAAAGATATCAATTTAGCAAGCTTTTTCTATAGAAACCTGCCATTCAGCAAATGTTTTCTTATCAAATCTACATTTTTACAACCTTCTGTATTTCAGATGAAATTTACAACGAAATTATACCCATAATGAAAAAGAAGCAGCCTCGACGTCCACCAACACAGGATAATCTCTACGATTTCTTTTTATCAACTGCTCGGTCCAATTTGCATGTGGCCCTGTGTTTCTCACCGGTAAGTTTTCATATTTTCGGGTCAAAGGTCAAGGCAATTATATACTCTATTTTTACCCCTTCTAGATCGGTGAAAAGTTTCGTGCCCGTTCTCTGAAATTCCCCGGCCTAATATCCGGTTGTGTCATTGATTGGTTCCAAAAATGGCCAGAAGATGCTCGGATAGCTGTCTCTAGACATTATCTCGAAAACTTTGAAATAGTTTGCTCACCAACTGTAAAGGAAAACGTAATGGACATCATGAGCTGGATTCACGAAAGTGTTTCCGAAACATGTCTGTCGTATTTTGAACGTTTTCGCCGTACCACTTTTGTTACACCCAAATCGTTAATTTCATTTTTGGAAAGTTATAAAAAACTCTACAAAGATAAACAGGAAAATATTATCGTGTTGGCGGAACGAATGTCATCGGGTTTGGATAAGCTGGATGAGGCAGGTGCTTCGGTGGCGGTGTTGAAAAAAGATTTGGTGGAAATGAATAAGGTGATTGTTGTGGCAACGGAAGAGGCTGAAGTGGTGTTGCAAAATGTCGCCGAATCGACGGCAGCTGCGGAAATTGTTAAAGCCCAGGTGGCCGAAAAGAAGGGTCAGGCTGAAGCTTTGGTGAAAATTATTTCAGCTGATAAAGAAGTTGCAGAAGCGAAGTTGGAAAAAGCCCGCCCGGCGTTGGAAGAAGCTGAGGCGGCATTAAAGGTAGATTTGTTTTAATTCATTCAGCAATTATACAGTAGAAAATCACAATTTAGCGAAGTCTTTCTACAAAAATCCAAATTTAGGGATGTTTTTCTAAAAAATACTCAATTCCTCGACTTTTGTGTTTCGAAACTATTTATCAGCGAACACACAAACCACAAAATATGTCTGTAACACTAATAGGCCGTTTTTTATAATTCAGAGATATCGTTCTGTTTGGAAACACAATATCCCTAAGTTTTTCAGTCAAGTTTTTTCACAGGAAATTGTAATTCAGGGATGTTTCTCTGTAGAAATGCTCTATTCGACAAACGTTTTCTATAGAAATTCTCAATTAAGCTAAATTTTCCTGTAGAAAACCTAAAATTTCAAATCGGCGTAAATATTCTATAGAAAAAAACTGAATTCAGGTAGAAAGTTTTTTTGAAATTTTTTATTCAGTAAGGTTATTGAGGAAATCTGAATTAAGTGATATTTTTCTAAAAATATAGAAAAGTCTTTCTGTGGAAAATCTGCATACGTCCCAAGTCAGCAAAGACATTTTATAGAAATTCAAAGTCATCAAAGAATTCATATAAAACAACTAATTCGATACAGTTCTATAATGTGTTGTTTAAATTCAGCTTAGCTTCTTTATTTGAAAAATTTTCAATCATAAATCTCAAAACTTGTTTGTAGAAAAACAGAATTTAAAAGATTTTTTTTTTCTGCAGAAATATCAATTCAGCTAAACTATTTTATGGGGAAGCTCTATTCAGCAATGTAATTATGAACAAAACCTTTATTCAGCAATGTTTTTATGTTAGAAAACTGAATTCAGCAAGTGTGTTATATAAAAAAATCAATTCAGCCCTGCTTATTTTTTGGGAAATGTTATTCAGCAAAGTTTTAAATCATAAATCCGAAATTTATTTGCAGAAAAACTTAATTAAATTCTATTCAGCAATGTTTCCTGTTAGAAAATTTAATTTAGGAAAGGTGTTAAATAAAAAAACTCAATTCAGCTTAACTTATTTATTGGAAAATTTTATTCAGCAATGTAATTATGTAGAAAATCTTGATTCAGTAATGTTTCTCTGTTAGAAAATTTAATTAAGCAAAGCTGTTAAACAAAAAATTCAATTCAGCTTAGCTTCTTTATTGGGAAATTTTATTCAGCAAAGTTTTCAATTATAAATCAGAAATTTGTTTGTAGAAAAACTCAATTTAATAGATTTTTTTCTGCAGAAATATTAATTCAGCTAAGCTTTTCTGCAGCAATGGTATTATGTACAAAACTTTTATTCAGGTATATTTTTCTTTTAGAAAATAGAATTCAGCAAATCTTTTATATATAAAAAATCAATTCAGCTTAGCTTTTTTTGGGAAATTTTGTTCAGCAATCATAAATCTGAAGTTTGTTTTTCGAAAAACACAATTTAATAGATTTTTTTTTGGAAAAATACCAATTTCAGCTAAACTTTTCTACAGAAAATCTATATTTAGCAATGTAATTATGTAGAAAACCATAATTCAGAAATGTTTTTCCGTTTGAAAATTCAATTTGGCAAGGGAGTTAAATAAAGAACTCAATTCAGCTTAACTTCTCTATTTGGGAAATTTTGTTCGGCATACAATTAAAATTAGCTTAAATCAGCAAGGTATTCAAAGAAAAACTGAATTCAGCAATGTTTTCCTGTACATAAAATATATTCAGCAACATTTTTCTTTAGAAAATCTAAATACACCAACGTTTTTCTATGCAAAAACTGAATTCAGCAAAATTTGTCAATAGAAAACCGGAAAACTGAATTCCGCGACGTTTATTTATAGAAACCCCGAATTCAGCAATGTTATTTCAGTTATTTTTTTCTCCCCAAATTCTAATTCAGCAAAAATGCATTTGCTATTTTCCAGACCATTAAAGCTGCCGACATTGCCACAGTACGAAAATTGGGTAAACCGCCATATTTAATTACCCTTATCATGGATTGTGTATGCATTTTGTTCCGCAAGCGCATCAAAGCCATTCGACCCGATATGGAAAAACAATTCCTGCAAAGTTCTTGGGAAGAATCGCTGAAGGTAATGTCCGATACGAGTTTCCTAAAGAAAATTGTGGAATATCCGACGGATATTATAAATGCTGAAATGGTCGATTTGATGTTGCCATATTTTAATTATAGGTAAGCGAGCTTTAAAGCTTTATTTTAGAAGCTTTTAATTGAGAATTTTGTTTTTGATTTACTTGCAGCCTTTACACCTTTGAGGCTGCCAAAGTGGCCTGTGGCAATGTGGCTGGCCTGCTGTCGTGGACCATTGCCATGGCCAAGTACTATGAGGTAAACAAAGAAGTGTTACCGCTAAAAGCCAATTTGGCAGTGCAGGCTGCCAAACATGCAAAAGCTTCCAATGATTTGCGGGAAGCTGAGGAGCTTTTTGCTGCCAAGGAACGGGAGCTGGCCAAAGTTCAACAACAATTCGATGAGGCCATTGCCAAGAAAAATGCTGTACTGGAGGAGGCAAAGAAGTGCCAGGACAAAATGGATGCAGCCACGGCATTGATAAATGGTTTAGCTGGCGAGAAGATACGATGGACAGAACAAATTGCTCAGTTCAAGAGTGAAACAGAGCGATTAGTTGGCGATACCATCATGTTGACGGCCTTCTTGTCCTACACGGGGCCCTTTAATCAGGAATACCGCAACGATCTGCAGGCTCAATGGTTGAAACAAATTATGGATCGGCTAATACCGATATCGGGAAATTTAAATATTATTGATAGTCTAACGGATCGTACCCAAATTGGGGAATGGAATTTGCAGGGTCTACCCACCGATGAGTTGTCTATACAGAATGGTATTATTGCCACCAAGGCGGTACGATTTCCTCTGCTGATTGATCCCCAGTCCCAGGGCAAAGCTTGGATAAAGAACAAAGAAAAGGAAAACGGTCTGATTGTCACCAATTTATCGCATCGTTATTTCCGAACCCATATAGAGGATGCCGTTAGCATGGGACTGCCGGTGATAATTGAAGATGTGGCAGAAGAATTGGATCCATGTTTGGATAATGTCTTGGATCGCAATCTACTAAAAGTCGGTACAACATTCAAGATCAAGTTGGGCGATAAGGAAATCGACTATAATGCCGCATTTCGTTGTTACATCACCACGAAGTTACCCAATCCCTTGTATTCCCCAGAGATATCGGCCCGTACATCCATTATCGACTTTACTGTGACCATGAAAGGCCTGGAAGATCAGTTGTTGGGTCGAGTAATTCTAACCGAACGCAAAGAGCTGGAAGAAGAGCGAACAAATCTGGTGGAGACGGTAACAGGAAATATGAAGAAAATGAAAGAATTGGAAGCCAATCTGCTGCATAAACTCTCCACGACGCAAGGCAGCCTGCTGGATGATGTCACCGTGATTGAGGTTTTGAATACCAGTAAAAATACCGCCATAGATGTCAAGGAGAAATTGGACGTGGCCAAAATCACGGAGGCAAAAATTAACGTGGCTCGAGAAGAATATCGTCCGGTGGCCACTCGAGGAAGTGTACTCTATTTCCTTGTCTGCTCCATGGCCAATGTCAATATGATGTATCAAACTTCGTTGGTACAATTCCTGGAGAGATTTGATGCCAGTATGCATTTATCGGCCAAGACCCATATTACCCAGAAGAGAATCAAGCGAATAATCGAATACTTGACCTTCGAGATTTATCGCTATAAATCCCGAGGCCTTTATGAAAAGGATAAATTCCTATTTGTCCTGTTGATGGCCTTGAACATCGATCGTCAAATGGAAATCATTAGCTATGAAGAATTTCAGAACTTCATAAAGGGTGGGGCTGCCTTGAATCTCAATGATTGTCCACCCGTTCCGTACAAATGGATTACCGATGAAACTTGGCTGAATTTGGTGCAACTATCTAACTTGGCCGCCTTTTCTCAGGTCCTTAATAAAATTTCCAACAACGAGAGATCCTGGTTCCATTGGTATAAAAAGGAATGCCCCGAAAGTGAAGTTATACCAGATGGCTACAACAGCCTCGATCCATTCCGCCGTCTACTCCTCATACGCTCCTGGTGTACAGATCGCACCCTCTCACAGAGCAGACAATATATTGGCCACTCGTTGGGAGAACGTTTTGCTGAACCCGTAGTTCTCAATTTTGATGGCCTTCTCTCGGAAAGTAAACCTTTAGTGCCGATTATATGTTTCCTATCGATGGGTTCAGATCCCTCCTCAAATATTGAGGCATTGGCAAAGAAAAATGAATTGAAATGTTATCCCATATCAATGGGCCAGGGCCAAGAGATACATTCCCGAAAATTGGTATCAATGTGCCTGGCAGAAGGTGGTTGGGTTCTACTGCAAAATTGCCATCTGGGATTGGAATATATGCATGAATTGACTTTGCTTCTACTCGATCTTGAGAGGGGTGAGGAGTCGGCCTATCATCCAGATTTTCGTATTTGGATAACCACAGAACCACATCCAGGATTTTCCATAACTCTGCTACAAATGTCACTGAAATTTACCAATGAACCTCCTGCAGGGGTACGTGCCGGTCTCAAGCGTACCTATGGCAATTTATCACAAGATTTTCTTGATTATTCCCAATCGGAATTCTACCATCCCCTCGTCTATGCCATTTCCTTTCTCCACTCGGTGGTACAAGAACGTCGTAAATTTGGTCCACTCGGCTGGAATATACCCTATGAATTTAATTCAGCCGATTGGTATGCCAGTTGTCTATTCGTGCAAAATCATTTAGATGACCTGGAACCGGGTAGGGGTATTAGCTGGAACACCGTTCGCTATATGTTGGGTGAGGTACAATATGGTGGCCGTGTCACAGATGATTATGATAAACGGCTGCTGAACACGTTCGGTCGTGTTTGGTTCCATGATCAATTGTTCGCGGAGACATTTGAATTCTTTAAGGGTTATAAAATACTTAGCTTTAAGGAACAGGAAGCGTATTTGGCTGCCATAGAAGAGTTGCCGAACATCGATCCGCCACAGGTTTATGGTTTTCATTCGAATGCTGAAATAACATATCAAACGAATACGACGCGATCGATTTTGGATACAATTATATCAATACAACCGAAGGGTAAGTGGGCGGGAGATGGGAGGGGATTATTTTTGTTAAACCCCACCATAAGGTGGGGTGTATGCTGCTTGCACAAGTATCCTTGCTTCAGATCCATACAACAGCACGGGTAACATCATCGTCCGGTTTTTAATTGCTTACTCAGACCATAGTGACATCTGTTGGCCAACACTATTCTACTTCGGATTTCAAAGCTGATGTTATTAGTTTTGTTTATGGCTGTACCGAGGTATATAAAATCGATCACCTCGAAGCTGTAGTTTTCAAGTTCCACAGTTGGTCCAAGTCTGCTGGATGTCTTGCGCGTTGATTCCATCAGCTTGATCTTTTCGCCATTTACTGCCAGTCCCACTTTGTCAGACTCCTTCTCTGTTCACCATTTCTGTTCACCTTTGCCTCTTGTATGACCTTTTCCAGCAGGATGTTAAACAGGTTACACTACAAACTTTCAACATGTCATAGTTATCCTGCATAGCCGTATTGATTTTGCAGGAATGCCGAAGACAGACACGACTTTAAACACCTCAGAACGGGTAGGGCTGTCGAATGCGGCTTTATAGTCGACGAATTCCTGGATCTTTTCCAGGATCTGGAGCAGAGTGAAAATCTGGCCAACGCTGCTACATTAAGACATAAAGTGCGAACCTTGGTTGCTACAAGGTAATGGTCCGAATCGATATTCGCTCCTCATATCGATCGAACATCTAAAACACTGCATGAATGCCTTCAGTCTATCACAACATGATCAATTTAATTTCTCGTTGCTTGATCAGGAGAAATCCAGGTGGCCTTGTGTATATCGAGATGCTTGAATCTGGTGCTGATAACTACCATGTTTTTTGCTGTCGCGAAGTCAATCAAACCTCATGCCGTTGTCTAATGTTTCTTCATGGAGGCTGAATTTTCCAATGGTGGGACCAAAAATATTTTCCCTTCCCATTTGTGCATTAAAATTTCGTAGCAGAATATGCGGTCATATGCTGTTTCCAGGCGCTCGTTCTTTGGTCTGTTCATCTTTGTCTTTCGTCGGAGTCCGTATGTTGAAGTTCCTACCCCAGTCTGTAATTTGGAACATTATTTTTTCAGAGAATTGGCAACCTATTAACACATAATGAAATATATAATCCAGTTGCAATAAAACAATCTGTTCATTTCAGAATCCTCTGGCGGTGGCGGGGAGACTCGTGAGGATAAAGTTGCACGACAAGTCCGAGAAATGCAAAGCAAAGCTCCAATGCCCTATGATCTGTTTGAGGTAAAGGAACGGCTTAGGGCAATGGGTGCCTTAAGTTCAATGAATATTTTCTTAAGGCAAGAAATTGATCGGATGCAAAAGGTAATCGGTACAACACATAAGTTTACATAGAGAATAAAATAAAAAAATATTTTATACATTTTCAGATTATCATTTTGGTTCGCAGCACCCTAAAAGATCTGCTTCTTGCCATTGAGGGTACCATTATTATGAGTGAACAGTTAAGAGATGCTTTGGATAATATTTTTAATGCTCGTGTACCGGCCATTTGGCAAAAAGGCAGTTGGGCATCGTCGACATTGGGTTTTTGGTTTACCGAATTGTTGGAGAGAAATGCCCAGTTTCATGGCTGGTGTTTTGGGGTATGAGGGAGCATTTCGATACCTAATGAATATTGCATTTAAATACTCTCTTGCTTTCAGGCCCGTCCCGTTGTCTTTTGGATGTCTGGGTTCTTTAATCCACAAGGTTTTCTCACCGCCATGAAACAAGAGGTGGCCAGAGCCCATCATGGCTGGGCCCTGGATCAAGTCAGCATGACAAATGAAGTTTTGAAAATCGGCAGCGAAGAATGTAAGAAACCACCCAAGGAGGGTGTCTATGTTCATGGTTTGTATTTGGATGGTGCAGGTTGGGATCGTAAAACAGCACGTCTGGTTGAATCGACCAATAAGGTTTTGTATGTGCTAATGCCCGTGGTTCATATATCGGCTATTAATTCGACAGCTCCCAAAAGCCCAAAACTTTATACGGTAAACATTTTTAAAAAAATATTAATATCTAATTATTTAATAATGATATGGATTTTGTTTTTGTAGTGCCCGGTTTATAAGAAAATCAATCGCACAGATTTGAATTATATATCACCGTTGTGGCTGAACACCGTAAAACATCCGGATCATTGGATTTTAAGAGGTGTGGCACTGTTGTGCGATATTAAATAATGTTTTATATATTTTTTAAATTTTAATAAATTTCTTATAATATTTTTCATAATTTTTTTTTTTATTTTTTCAATGGTCAAACATGTGATTGCAAGGTAATAGGTAATAATTTGTTCAATAAAATTCAAATTAATTTTCAAAAATGTCCCTTCAATTTGGAAACATCTCTATCTTTACAGATTCGAATTCGAATATTGTGAATTAAACAGGAGGCCTCTGTAGAATATTTCGATGCGTTTCAGACGGAGTGACCACAATACGTTGCGATGAAAACTACAATATGTTCACATGTGTATACCCTCATAACGTGGAGTGTATATTATTATATGTGTCATTCTGTTTGCAACATCCCGTGATATTTACGAGAACCCATAAAATATATATATATATATATGTATATTACATAATGGAATAAAATTCTATGTCGGTTGAACCATGTTTGTTGAAGTCACGATAGAGCTTTCAATATTTCATATAAGGGCTTCGAAATCTAGAATGTTTCATACTGAAAATGGAATAAATCGAAGTTCATATATCGGAAAATTCAGTCTCCATAAAGAAACATCCGACAACGGCATGAAGTTAATTGATTTCGTGGCAGCAAAAAATGGTAGTTATCAGTACCAGATTCAAGCATCTCGATATACCAAGGCCAACTGCATTTCTCCCAATCAAACAACGAGAAATCAAATGCATGATGTTATGGTAGACGGATGACATTCATCCAGTGTTTTAGACGTTCGATCCGAGGAGCGAATATCGATTAATAATTTTTTTTCACAGTAAATTTATGTTTGCAACAGCGATTTTTTTTTTTCATTTTGTACTACCGGGCCCCCCAAATTAAATCCTGTGTACGTTGCTGTTCCGACCACTACATTGTAGCAGCCAAGGTTCGCACTCGCCTTAATATAGCAGCAAAGGTGTGATCTAATATAACAAGAAAGTTCGACGTCGAAAAGTTGCAAACACAACGAAAGCACTCCTGCTTGACGTGTCCCCACAATAATATATATACACAATGGCATAGAAGTGGCCACTTCCTACAAACTACAGCAACAGGAACACTTGGGTATCAAAGACCGCCATTAAGAAACCCATGGTACGAAAAACACAGCGTATAGGTCAACCCTGCAGACAGTAGCAATACGTAATGTGATGGAGTATTATCGAGAGAAAAGGAGAGAGGAGAAACGTATTATCAGAAAAATTAAAAGAAAGATCAAGAAAAACGTGAGCGAGAGCAAATCGAGATGTACAGGAGTCAGAACGAAGTTCGGAAATTTTACCAACGAGTAAAACATCAAACCGAAGGCTTTGGTGCTGGCACATCCTCCTGTAGTGATGAAGATGGAAACCTGGATACAGATACAGATAGCGTGTTGAGGATCTGGAAGGAGCATTTTGCAAAGCTTTTAGTATCAAATAGTGGCGGTGAAGAAGATATCTCAGAACCAATAAGAAATGACCGTATAGATTGTATACCACATAGCCAAGATGAGGTTAGAGTAGCAATTAATCGGCTGAAGAATAATAAAGCAGCTGGTGCCAATAGAGCCGAACTCCTCAAGAGCGGTGGTCATATGATGGTCGGGAGCATGCACCAGTTGATGAATACAATTTGGCTAGAATAATGCATGCCCAATGATTGGTACCTTTGCATTCTGTGTTCCGAGCTCAAAAAAGGATCAAGACGATATGTGTCAAACATAGAGGAATAAGTCTCCTTTCCATCGCATATAATGTGCTATCCATCGTACTGTGTGAACGGCTGAAGCCAATGGTCAATGACATTATTTGACCATACCAATGCGGCTTCATCCCACCATTGTCCAGATCTTCACTCTACGCCAAATCCTGGAAAAGACCCACGAAACATCGACTCATTCCACCTATTCGTCTACTATAAAGCCGCATTCCACGGCCCTATCCGTTCCGAGTTGTTTAAAGCAATGTCTGCGTTTGGCATTTCTGCAAAATAAATACGGCTTTGCAGGATAACTTTAACTGGCACGAGGTCAGCAGTTAAAGTCGGAAAGGACCTCTCGGATCCCTTTAATACCGAACAAGAATTCAGACAAGGTGACAATTTGTCGTGTGACCTTTTTAACATCCTGCTGGAAAAAGTCATACGAGACGCAAAGGTGACATGATATCGACATAATGGTTCGAACGTTGAGAGCTGTAATAGCCACCTTTGAAGAAATTGGGTCTGACAGTAAATTGCGGGAAGACCAAGCTGATGATATCAAGGCGCAAGGCGTCCAGTAGACTCAGACCAACTGTGGAAATTGAGAACTACAGCTTCGTTGAAGTCAAATATTTTATATACCTTGGTACCGACACATATAAAACTAATGTCATCAGTTTTGAAATTCGGAAAATAATAGTGTTGGTCAACAGATGCTACTATGGTCTAAGTAAGCAGTTTAGAAACAAGGCAACCTCCCGCCAGATCAAACTCACACTCTACAAGACACTGATACTACCCGGGCTGGTGTATGGATCAGAAATGTGGGTACTTGCGCAAGCAGATGAGGCAGTTCTGGGAGTGTTTGAGAGAAAAATTCTTCGAAAGAAGAATGCAGAATTGGTTCTGCATGGTTCAACATCGGTTTACGTGTTGGTGCAGCTCTTATATAAAAACCGCATTTGCCCATCAGAAAATTATCAATATAGGTCCATGTTTTTTCCTAGCCCCATTTAAGTATTTTTCTAGTATATAAAAGGTTTTATTTTTGAGGCGAATTGTCTATATAGGTCCACGTTTTGACATAGACCCCACATAAAAGTCGCGCACCATTTTCGGTATTTTAAAGTTTTTATTTACCGAATTTTCACATCGAAGTGGCTATAATTTGACATATGGAATTCCTGCTTATGGAATGGCGTGTTGAATTCTTGCCACTACGGTCCATAAGGAATCTTGAAGTAATTCTCCAAGGATCGGAGAGGGCGTAAGGGTATAATATTCGAGGGATATTACTTCATCAGAATAAAATTCTATCGTACATAGTTAATACTCGAAGAATGTATGATTTTAAAATGGGATATATCGGTCGGTTCGTTTTCATTTGAATTGCTATTCACATTGAGTAGCAAAATTTCTCACAAAAAATTATCAACATTGGTCCTCTAGTTAGGATAGCCCTTATTAAATGGTTCTTTGAGGAGTTTGTGCACGATTAAAACTAATTGGGCTATAATTTTGTATTTTAGATTACCATTGGGTAGAAACGCTTCCTTACGAAAAATACGTTGGCCCCCATACAATGGTTGCGTTTATTAATCTAAAAAATTTACCTTGTCCAGGTATATATAAAGTTGCCGAACTATTATTGGTATTTTAAATGTTCACCTCATGTTGGAGGATATAAAAAGTTCCATCCGGTTGAACTTAAAGGGGTTTTTCATTATTTGATCAGACCTCGTATATGTCCCGTCGGTCCAACTGATACTAATTTTTGCATAGACTACCAAATTCGGACTAAAACGTCATATACATTAGAACTTTTTAACGGGTTAACCTTCTTTATGAGGATTTATTTGACATATATGCAAAGAAATTGAAAATTGAAACCCACTGGGTTAACGAAATCCGGTTAAATGTAAACGTACTGTAAAAGGGACTTATAAAGGTGGCCCCAGTGTGAAATGAAATGTTACAATATGTTCTTTTTTTTTGCAACAGGGAAATATTATGTCACGCCAGTAGGGTTTATATTGAATAATTTCTGTGAAGATGGTTTTTACCCACCAATATTCCGGTATGATACTTCGGTTGTATAATACGCCTAGGGCCATCGAAATAACGATAACAGTATTAATATTGAGGCTATGTAATAACATGAATATTTATTGGAAAATTTTTGCACGGTTTTTCCATGTGCAATTTTTCGTACATCTATCGTAATTTAAACACACATCTTGTCATTGCACCATATATAAAAAAAATTTCATAAATTTATTAAATGCTTTGTCGTATATTTAGGTGCCAAATATTTACTTCACATTTTTAAAACCTTGTCAGCTGGTCAATATTTATTAGAAAAAGGCAAAAAACCAAACTTATTTTTTCCATTCCAATCATCAGATTATAGATTAAATCCAATTAACTAATCGCATAACCGTAAATTTAACCGACATGAATGAAATAACTTCTTTTCGAATAATTACGCATATAAATCACACAAAATTGTGGCTGGCCCACAAAATCTTCGAGAGCAGATCTTAAGTAAATTGTACAGAATTGCCACGGCAGTAAATGTAAAGTGGCCGAAAAAGTGCCAATACAATGTTATTAATTTTACACATAATAAATCAGAACTTCAACACACATACAAACAAATATAAAAAACAAACTTGCATACATGTGACAGACGGTGGGTAGGTTGGACCGACGGTTGGTTCGGTCAATTGTGGTCAAGATAAACTAATTTAAAGCAATTCGGATGCTGATATACAAAGCGATATGTAGACATAATCGCCACATAGTTACACAAATAAGCAAAAAACTGCCAACGTTAACCTTACATGGCCCCCAACTGGCCCGGACATGTTAAAATTCATTCATAATAATCGTTCAGAGGCAAACATTAAAGTGTAAATTTTAATAAAAATTGTTAATGATCATTAACCAGACAGACAGAAAAAAATTATATTTTTTTCGTTTGTGAAAATGACTGAAAATTAACTGATATGATTAAATAGAGTACCGAAAACCAGACAGACAGGCATTTTACAATGTGCAACAAGATTACTGCTTGTTTGTGTGCATGTAATACCAGCTATGGCCTTTGAATCAACACACAAAATTACTGACCACTTGCGAACCAGGCAGCAGCTACTGCCGCAAATCTATTAAATTTGAAAAATGTTATGTTTTGATATTTCGGCTTCTGAGGTGTTAAACCAAAAACAAGAATTAATAACAAATTTTAATAAACCAATTTCCAGGGTTAATAATGGACAATTTATTCGGTGGAGTTGCCGGTGCCACCGCAAC